AGCCCAACCGTGAAGACCTGATCCGAAACCAACACTTCCCTTGCTAGGGTCAACCTGAAAGATGTAATCAAATACTTAATACTTCAAATTAACATCAAATAGCAAATGTGATAACTCAATCTTTCAGACGTGGAGAAGGGTAATAAAGTTTCATGTAAGCTTGACTTATCAACAGCTTTAAATTGTTATCATCACAAAGATTGAGACTAACGATAGCATTAGGTTATTTATATTTAAGTACCTATATAGGATTTTCTTGATTTTGAGACAGATATAGCAGGATAGCATGAGGCCAACACAATACTTACCACTTTTTGAAGACCTTATATACAGAATATTGATTACAATTCTCGAGGAATTTAAGTTACAACAGAAAATTTATACATGGGAAGTCCTCAAAGACAAAATAATTTAGTTTCATCCTTAATTTTCCAGTCTTTAAGCTTAGGACTTTGCTTTTGCAAATGCGTTGTTTCTCCTTAGAATTGTAAAACATACCTAATCAGAATTCAGTCAAACCATTTTAGAGTAATTAACCTTAATATCTCAGTGTCTATCACCTTTTATCAAACTTTATCTGTTCTTAAGCATTGGATTCTTTAATTATTTTAATTTGAAACAACATAAGGGAGGTATGTGAAATACTAAAAAATAAAAATTATGTACCTAGTTTAGTAACTAAAATATCAAAGTATAAGCACACTTAAGCAGATAATATTCTACCATTTAGTTTCACAATAAGTAAATTTACTCCAACATAGAGCTAACACAAAATTGGTTCTCCTGAATTCAAATTTAATGTGATGTTACGTAAGACTAAGATAACTCACACGTGGGAAGCATCCTCTAAATCAGGGATTCTCAAACGTTGATACGCACACCTCTTGGGGATAACAAACCATTAAATTAAAATAGAGGAAAAAATTCATTGTCTTTAAATTGTTTTATACATATTTCAGTTTAGTAATTAAGAAGGGAGGCTACCCAAAAACATTTGTAGTATTTATAAGTTTGAGAATCCCTGCTCTAAATGACTGGGAAGAATTTCAGACACTCATAATCGTCAATGTAGTCATTAATTTATACAAATAATTTAACATTCAAAATTAAAACAATTTGAATCTTTCAGACGTGGAGAAGGGTAATGAAGTTTCATATAAGTATAACTTATCAACAGCTTTAAATTGTCATCATCACAAAGATTTTATTGATATATATGGTTTAATACTAATAGATAGGTACTAAAAAATTATATATTACCTGAACTTCACCCATGGGACCACTGTCATCAGAGTATGTAGCAATAATGATGTTAACATTTTCAACAATACGTTGGAAAGTTTGGTACAAATCTTCAGATTCCAATTGCAATTCTAATAAAGCACGGTCCATTTTGTTCATGAACAAAATTGGCTTGATTCTTTCAGCTATGGCTTGGCGCAATACAGTTTCAGTTTGTACACACACACCTTAAATTAAATAATTAAATATTAGAGAAACATATAGTAAAGGAACAATATAATGTTATTAAAAAAAAAAAATTAGTTTATACCAGATACACAGTCAACAACAACCAGGGCTCCATCAGTAACACGGAGGGCAGCAGTAACTTCACTGGAGAAATCAACGTGACCAGGGGAATCAATCAAGTTAATTAAGAAACCATTTACATCAGGATCACGTTGGTCAGCGTTCTTAATGAAGACTAAATCTTTTTCTCCGAGTTCAAAGTACATAGAGATGGCAGTGGACTTGATTGTAATGCAACGATCTTGTTCATCTTTACGAGTGTCAGTGAAACGCATGTCTCCAGCTTTGGCATTAGCTATAATACCAGCTTTGGATACCAAAGAGTCAGTTAAAGTTGATTTTCCATGATCCACATGGGCGATGACAGACATGTTCCGAATATTCTTCTTCTTGTCCATCATCTTACGGATCTCGTCTACCGTGAAGTTCACCTAAAATGCATTAAGGAATTTAACAAATGTGTACAACTTATCAATTACAGAAGAAAAACACTGCTACTTTTTAGTCAGACTCATTAAATCAGTATTTCCCTCCATAGAATGTCAGGATAGTAAATTTGTCATCATTCTTTTAATTGCCAAATATGCTACATACAAATACTAACATATTTGAAATTTTCCAGTTCAATTGATTTTGTCAGACTCATTAAATCAGATTTTCCCTCCACAAAATTCAGGTAAGAAAAAAGTGTCATCATTCACAAATCATTGAAAGTATTTGCATCAATTAAATCATTGTATGCAATATTTTTATGTTCACTTCGTTATTTACAATTTAATGTACCATAATGGAAAATAGACATTTTTGTAAATTAGAAAATAAAATTAAGTTTTAAAAGGTGTATTCTATAATATAATCACATAAATGGGATTAAAATAGAATATAGGTACATACTAGATTGTAGGAAAATATAATTGACAGTGCGTACCAACAAATATAAACTATTCGCCGCTTCGTAAAAATTGTTATTGTTACTAAATTTGGTTTCATTATTATAATTTAAAATTAAGGCTAGTTGATGAATTTCTGTATCCCATTCAGGTAAATAAAAATATTGGCTATCGCCTACAATGTTATGCGAACCGTGTCAAAATAGCATACCAATAGGTAAACAAGGTGTCGAGTTAGGTGCAATCATCGGTATTACCGGCTGTCTTAAGACCCAATACCATGAAAAAACATTTGGACATCGATCTCCGAGCCACAGCGTAGGCGACATCATATTATCGATGTCATAGAACATATTAATATACATATGATAGGCCCAACGCGACGTGGTCGGAACCATAAACCGACGAGACGACAAAGCACTTGAACAAATTGTAGGTTAAGGGTACAAGTCACATTAAAGGTCTTAGAAAATCATGAAAAAAAATAGGGTATGGCAGAGGACATACTCGGCAACGGCGACTAACCTGAGATTAAAAAATAAAGATTTCAAGCGCCACGTCCCGCGCGATTTTCGAAAAACGAAATCATGACCGCAAAAAATCGAGGCCGTGACAGGGATCGACGGCATTTTTTTATAGCTCCAACGTTCTACGCCACGCCGAAAACCCCAACCGGACATGGGGTGTTCCGCGACGACCCGCCGCCGCCGCCACCACGTCATCCTCGGTGGGCGCCGACGACACCGAATGCTCGGCACAACCAAAAATAAAAAACGGAACAGAACGGACGATGGAGATACTAACGGGTATTAAACTGCATTTAACGGTAGCGTGTCAACAAAAGCAATCAATACTCACCATTTTGAGATGTTTTCGGATGAAATCTGCTCAGAAAAATTAAATTGTGTTGCACGAGTGTCGGGAGCCGACGTTGCAACAGAAAGGAAGGTGCGCGGAACAGTTCGACGGACCGTCGGGCCACGGTACACAGCGCTAAACCCCCCACCACAGAGCACCAGCGGTCGCCATGACACGTTGCACAGAGCCGCCGTCCACGGGAATAATGACTATGACACCCCACCCTCCCTCTTACTCTTTCAGTCATACGATCCCTTCCAGCCGCGTCAGAACAACAGTGTGTGTACGTGTAGCGCACATGGTTGCCAACCTTGAATCCCGCAAAATAACGTGGACAACTTTTTTTTTAATTCCTATCAAATACTGTCAAAAACCACTTGTCAAAAGGGTATAACCAATCACGTTTTCAGATTTTATAAATCGTGGATATTACTTATACCGTAAAAACAATGTGATTTATACTTCATGGATTTGTTACTATTCCATAATTCGTTCTTCCCATAAAGCATTATTAAAGTTGTCCATAAAGCTAGTATAAACAGTTATTATCACTATCATAACCTTACCTAACCTGGCTAACCTAGCTCTATTCTAAGACCGTGCCTAGCTCGAATTTATTACTAAACAATTATTATTTAATATTATTATTTTTCACGGTCGTTTTATGGTCGTAGTCGCGGCTAATATCTTCTAAGACCGTGTTGCGTATAGACAGAACCACAGAACCGATACTAGTCCATTATATCTTACTATCTTAGTCCGTGGCCGTGGTAGAGATTCATTTCGGTAGAAACTTCTCAAGATTCGTTGGGAAATCATACTATCTTAAATCTTGTTCATTACCATAGAGTACAGCATAAATATGCTCAATGAAAAAGTCATAATATTTTGACAATAACGTCGAAAGAACTCTAGAATTGTCATGGAAAAGTCGCTTAAACGTTTTCGTTTAAGACGTCACGTTGAGCTTAAGCTCAATTGAGGTTGAGACCACCGCCTATTGTCTACCACCCAAAGACCTATACTTTCTAGTTTCTATAATCTATATAACCTGCTTCTATATAACTATATTTATTATATTATTACGTTAAACATCTTGAACGGACACAAAACATGAAATCTATTAATTTCTCTAATAACTGTACTTTTAAGCAAACTCGCAACAATATACGTATACCCATAACAGTCATTACTTCCAACATTAAATCTCGTATCCACAAACCTCATTAAAATGATCTACAATCCCCATTCCATATTCTATTTGTATAAATCGAAATTCATTAAACTGTAACTAAACTGTAATCTACAAACTTGTAATAGCATGCACAATATGCTGAAACATATAATTATAATAAATTAAAAATTAAAAAATATACATATTATTCTATGCCACCACAACAAACGTTTGTGGTTTCGTGCAGTAGATGTATAACTACATAATAATATATATATATATATACCATATATGTACCTAATGGGTAACATAAGGACGTCTGTGGCATCTATATAGGTATCATACATAATCAAAAGGCTCTATTCTGTGGCATATATTTGTGTGTCTATGGTTAGGTTTTACAAGACGATGGTATATTGTATTACCGAGTATGAATGAAAACGTAACCATTACCCTGGTAGGTGAATTAGAACATTTAGAATCCCGAAAGTAGCAAGCTACTGCTCCATAGCAACGACTCGTAATTATTTATATAAGAGTATAAAAAAATGGCTATTGAGTTGTGAAACTATTGTCTATTACAAGTTACAGCGATCGATAAAATAGTTTGTTTTTTATGAACCTAGAACGAGTATTACACAGTTATGGCCAATAGTGAGTATAATATATTATTATCATACTAATGGATTGTCGTAATTCGTAGTTATCCAAATAAAATCATTAAAAAAACAATAAGTAGGTAGCAAGGTAGTAAGTTGTAGGTACATATTATAACATAATTATTGTACATTTAAAATGGTAGTTACTCGATACAAATATCCAAGGAGAAAAATACAAAATATTATTTTCTTCTATAACGATATTACGTCGGTTTATAACTTTATAAGAACCTATACTGCAATATACAGTATACAAGTTAATATTAATAAAATAATGTAAATAATATGTAACATTATAAATTATAATATAATCAACTATCAAACTCAAGTCAAGATGTATTGGCTTAAAACTTTACTGCAACCATTAACCAATATTGGTAATTGTAGGAAATACGGCATTCATAGGTTGAAGGTGTGTTAAAAAAGTGATTAGTGGGCAAGTGGTACTGCTCTGCTCAGGCACGGATTCGGAACACAGATTATTTGGGGGGATGAGTGACAAAGATAAAAAAAAATAATAATAATAATACATCTTGTTGGTACAACACAAATGCGATATAAACATTGATTATTAATTTTGCGAAATTTGTCAAAAAATTTTACTATAAAATATAATAGTATATGTTAAATGTTTCTAGCTCCTATATGACAACAACTTATAGGCATATGAAATTTTCAATTATTATTAGATTTTTTCGATTAACGTCTATAAGAAAATGTAAGCTCAGTAAAAAACTTGAAAATATAAAACTTAAATTGTTGTTAGTGAAAATTAAAAAAAAGTTCAATGTAAGTACACAACAATGTTTTATGAGCGTCTGAATATCAAATTTCGACAAAATAGTTTAAAATAACGAAAATTTGCAAATTAATTTAAGTTAGAGATTTATAAAAAAAATTATTTTCATACATAAGATTTATAAATTTAATGCTAGATTTCTTATAAGTTTATGTACCTTTATCAAAAAAAAAAAATTATTACCAGAAAGTCAAATTCAATTTTTATGAGCGTCGAAGTTGACATTTTTATAACATTGGATATTCACTCGATTTCTCATATAGCGGATTTTCTTATTTTGTTGTAATTCAAAAACAAATGGCAATAGACACTTGAAATGTACACTATATTTTTATTTCATCTATTCATATACTTGATAAAATTTTAACTCGTTTTAAGCTGTTGACGAAGATTTTCAATTTTCATTTTTTTTCTATAAATGTCAATACAATTTTATTGGTTGGGTTAAAAAGTATGAACATTTAATACAAGACTATATATTGTTACAATAGCAGTTGAAAAATATAAAAAATATATTGGCACTGTTTTTCTATATAAGCATTTGAAGTCAAAATGTTGACAACATTTATCAAATTGAAAAATGATTTTGTAGTTCAAATTTATAAAAATTTTAATTTAATAGCTAAGAAATAAATCTAAAATTAAATAATATAAATACAGCTTTTTTATAGTGATTTTAAGTTTAAACTTAGACGAAATCACATATTAACACAAAGAATAACAATTTTAGTCATTTTGTTGTAATTTGATTCCAAAACAGCTCAACTAAACCATAAGTATATATATAATATTTTTCCAGCATCACTGATAATTTAAGTTAATAAGGTAGGTACATATTATTACATAACACAATGTATGAATTTTAAAATTTAAATAGTTTACATTTATAATTTAGATTGGCCATTCTTCATCCTTTTTCTAGCATATTCATTCATAACTAAGTCAATAGCTATAGCTATATGTTTGTCTGTATGAACATTTAATAGAGCTAAGCCATTCGGCATTCAGCCTAGACTTAGTCATTATAATTGCGCATTTGAGCCATGTAATTTTTTATTGTATATACCTAATTGTAAGAGAAAAAATTCTTCACAATGCGGAAGTGATACGAAACAGCAGTATAAGGAACATTTGTTTCTATTTTATTCCATTACGTATTCTAAAAATTTATTTCTACTTTTAATACTAATTCTGAACTTGAATATAAATCTTGAGCATATATATAACATTTCAGCTTTGGTCAATGGTCATGCAGGTATCACACTATCACGTCCTCTTAATATCTGTCGTTCGATTTTTTGTACACAGTTCTTAGCGTATTGGCGTAGATATGCTCATCGGAAAATTCACAGATAGATTTTTTGTCTAGTGCTGTTTAAATATTTGCACATAACCATTTTATGATCCCATCTTTCCGCTGTCGCCTAAATCTGTATTTATTTGTTTTGTGTAGAATTAACTCTTTAACACGTTCTGATAGAATAATTTCACAGTTTTCCATAGTTTTCTAAAAACACTATATAATACTATAACAATGAGTGTGCTATTACTGCAATATTTAACAGAAATTACTTGTAAGTTGTAACATACCTACCACAATTTTAATACACTCAGAATTTCCACATTTCCATTTCCAGATTATCGAAGTATTGTTTATAAATTTGGTAACATACTAACATGTGTCCACAATCGTGTCATTTTCAGGGGTCTATTGTTGAAGGTTGAACTATAAACGTTCGCAATCGTGTCATTAAAAATAACCGCACCATTCGAAATCGTGTATCACCGGCTTCAGCATCCAAGCACCCCCTCTAAATCCGCCACTGATAATTAATAACAGAAGTTTCTACACATTTAATTTTTAAATATCTTTTGTGATAATAGCTCATTAAATAAAGATAATAATATTATATTGGTTATTTAATATTCTATATTATTTAAACATTTTTTCCAGTTACAATTGAACTTATAAGGAAACGTTCTGAACACAACGAAGGTGAGATCGGCACTTTAGAAGAAATATCTTTACACCAGGAAGATATTACTAAAATAGAAAATTTACAACATTGGTGTAAAGACTTAAAAATATTACTTTTGCAATCAAATTTAATATTTAAAATAGGTTAGTATAATGAACAGTATAATAATAAACAGGGACACAGGGTTGGGCAATCAGTTACACGACGTATTAAAATTACATTTATTTGTAGGTGTAACTTGTAAAGATGTAACTATTATAATAACTAATTACATAATAATTATCCTATAAATCTAACTATAACTTAAAATTGAATCTTGTATAGACTCATTGTTATTGTTAATTTAAATAATATTAATATACCATATTAAACTTCATACTTGTATCTAAATAAGTTGCATTTAAATAATAGACAATAATAGACAATTTCAAAATAAATAAGTGGTCAAAAATTACTCGACCGGTTTTTTTATGATAATTTCAAACTGTTCTCGAAGATATCAGGATTCAGGAAAGTTTATGGAGTATAGTTGGAACCACGTTCGAAAATTGGTACTTTCTATAATACTTACTACCTATACCTAAGTGCTATATATCCCCTCATTCCAATCCGTCACAGGCAAATTGACCATATCAATCGAATAAGTTCTCAAAGCGAGGTTCATCGGCACTTTGGCTATGAACCACGATTTAAGATATATCTTAAATCGTGCTATGAACTGAGATACCTGATACACACCATATGGCTTATACTGAAACCAATATACATCTATTTGGCTACTTAGAGCTATATTTGGCTTTTATTTTTTATTTTTATTATATTAAGTCGTGTTATACACTATACAGCTAGTAATTATTAGTTACTAATTAGTTAAACATTATGTTCATAGATATTAGAGAAAGGACGCCGAACTATTACTATTTAATATTTACTATGCATATATTATAAGTGTTCTGGAACATAGGTATAACGTGATGAATTTAAATGGTGGAAGGGAGGACTATAGCTTTTAGGCTTTAATATTTTGGGTATACAAATATACAACATACATAATAATAATTTATTCTAAAAATGTAACTAAAAAAAATGTACTAAAGCACCCTTCATCCTTACCTTGCTCACCCCCCCACCCCCAAAATTCTACGCATCTAGTGTGGAATATTATAAGATCATAATATTTAATAGAACAATTCAACAATTGTGTAACTAGTGATTATACTAGGTAGGTTAAAGTAAATTATATTTTTTCAAGCTTTCATGGTAATACACTATTATTGACTATTGTTCTATGCTATTATATCATATAATTATAAAAATATCATGTAATCAAGTTTGTATAATAATTTAAAACATGTAACGTGTAACGGCTACACTGTACAAACTCTATACTATGAAGAATATTCTAGTTCTTACGCTGTAAACACTGTATAAATCCTTATCATAAAAAATATTTTGTTTACACATTTTTAAGCTCATTTTTATTTAAACCATTCGTCAAAATTTTCAAATTGACCGAAGCAAAAACCGACTTACGTCTTACGTTAAAACTCAACACTTATTCTATTGATTAATTTTGAAAAGTGATTTAAATTTGAGATAAAATATCAAAATTATACGTTTGAACTTACTTTTAAGAAATATAATACAAAGTGCTTAAATAATTATTTATATTTTATCATAGAATAATTTGATATTAAATTATTCTATGATTTTATGTTTTGTGAATGTAACCATTATAATTAAATATAAATTTACCAACTAATAACATTGTTTAAGAAAATGGAAGAAGATATAAAACCAGATATCAAACCAGTGATCGATGAAGTCCCCAAAGAACTGGATGATAAAAAGACTAGTTTATGTGTTGCATTGAAAATTCTCAAAAAGTATAATTTAAATTCTACTGCTGAAACTTTGAAAAAAGAAGCTAATTTGACAGATTCTGCATATAATACTTCAGAACACGATGTTAATAATGCATTAAATATATTCAAATCTCAAGGAGATCCGTCAGTTTATGAGAATGCTTATATAACTCTATCAAAATTTGTTGAAACATCATTAGATATTTACAAACATGAGTTGGGCTGTGTTTTATACCCAGTATTTGTACACATGTATTTGGACCTTGTTTGTAATCGACATGAAGCTGAAGCTTTACAGTTTATGAAAAAATTTGGACCCGGACAAGAATCTTACTATCAGGCTGACATTCAAAACTTGGCTATAATTACAAAAAAAGAAGAACTAGACGATAATGCACTGATAAGCAATTATAAATCCAACGAATTTGTTGTTCGAATGTCTAGGGATACATTATCTCTTTTAAAACGGCATTTGAAAGAAAAAAAACAAACCGTCTTACTAGATATTGTCCAAGAAAATTTGTTCTTTGATGTATATGAAGGAATAGCTAGAAACAAACAACAAATTGATGCGGTGGCAGGAGGAATGATTGGGGAAGGAACTCGTCAAGACAATAAATCAAGAGTGTATTATGGGTTATTGAAAGAACCAGATTTGCAAACTGCAGCAGCGACAGTTAACTTAGATGAAGATGAAGAAGAAACACAAGAGAGTGAAAAACCAAAAAAAAAGAAATCAAAGTCTAATCCTTTATTATCTAAAAAAACTAAAATTGATCCTAATGCTCCACCTTTAGATAGAATGCCACTACCACAATTGAGAGAGGTAAATATATAAATGACAAATTTGTAGAACTTAAATAAATATTACCTGGTCTGAACTTATGTTAAATTAATTTTTTTTTTTTTAATGTTGGGGTTCGTTTGAAACATTTCAAATAAAATATATATAATTTAATACACATTTATATCTTTAAAATCTTGACTATTTAGTATCCAAGATGAAAAAATATTACTATAGGTTTATTATAAATTTATACTTAATAAATAGGTACATTGGGGAAATGCTTATGATGATTTTAAATTTTCTTGTATAAATGAGCTTCTTTTTTACTTACATTAAATAATTTTGTTTATTTATAGGCAAGTTTTGTATTTCAATTTTATTAATGAATATAAATAATGTTCATTAAATATTTTATTATCAAAATTACTACAATAATTTATTTTGTAGTAGAAGTATAATGACTTAATATCGACATGTAGTGTCATCCAAATTTTAAATTATTAAACTGATGGGAATCTTATGTAATCCTCACCAATTCTGCTACATACAATAATAACAATTTTTTATTCAAACGTTTGTATTTTTCAGATTGATAAAAAAATTAAGGTTCAAGCAGTTTTAGATTCTGCTAAGCGAGTGACATTAAACCATGAAACATTACCTTCTATTTGTTGTTATACATTATTGAATTGTTCCAATGCTGTGAATTGTGCAACAATCAGTGATGATGCTACAATGTTGGCCGTAGGAATGGCCAATAGTCGAGTACGTGTATGGAGCTTAGTACCTCAAAAACTACGTGCCATGAAAACAGCAGATCAACTGTTGGATATTGATCTGGAATCAGACGATGTAATGCATAGAATACTTGATGATAGATCAGCTGAAACCACACGTACATTGCTCGGACATTATGGCCCTGTATATCAAGTGTCATTTAGCCCTGATAAAACATTATTGTTGTCATGTTCAGAAGATTGTACTATTAGACTTTGGAGTTTACTATTATGGTCATGTGTAGTTGCATATAAAGGAAGTTATCATCCTGTATTTGATGTCAAATTCAGTTTACATGGTTATTATTTTGCAACTTCTAGTAGAGACCGCACTGCAAGACTATGGGCAACAGATAATTATCAGTCATTAAGATTATTCAGTGGTCATTTTTCAGATGTTGATTGTTGTCAGTTTCATCCTAATTCAAATTATATTGCAACTGGGTCAAGTGACAGAACTGTACGTTTATGGGACTGTGTTACTGGAGAACAAGTACGATTAATGACTGGCCATAAAGGAGAAATTTTGACATTGTGTTTTTCAAATGAGGGACGAGTTTTAGCATCAGCTGGCAATGATTGCAATGTACTTCTGTGGGACATTGCACATGGGCATTTAGTAGCTATGCTTACTGGACATAAAGGACCTATTTATACAATTACCTTTAGTAGAGACAGTACTATTTTAGCAACTGGTTCTCATGATTGTAAAATAATGCTCTGGGATTATTCAAAACTTTTAGAAGATCTCTCGTTAGATGATATGAATGTGCACAACCCAACCGTTATGAATAATAGTTCCAAGTACCTACTTCGAGCATTTGGTACAAAGAACTCACCAGTTATACATCTGTTTTTTTCAAGGCGAAATATTATGTTTTGTGTATGTTCGTTCAATTCTCCTCAATCAAATTAACTGTTAATTTTCAAAAACAAATATTGTACCACATTTATCTTTATGTTAATTATTTAATAGTGTTAAGTTAAGTACAAGATTGTATAAGTAACTATTCTTCTTTGTGGTATTTGTAAGTATAATTTATTTTCTTGAATATATTTTTATATATTTATAGTATGTGTAAAATAATACATTTATCAAAACGCAGTTGTGTTCTTTAACAGTAAAATAATATTAAGAAATTATTTTTTTATTTTATTTAATTGTTAAATTAACTAAATAGTATATATAGGTACTGAATACAAAATACATGTTATATTTTTTGAACTAATGCAAACTTATGTACCATTAAATTTAAGTTTATACATCAAAAAAAGATTTTATTGAATGTTGTACAAAATCAATTGTATATTCATATGATATATTAATAATCCAAAGATAAAGGGTCTAAAATCTTTTTAAAAAAAGTTATTTTTTGTTTCATTTATTTGAATAATTAAAAACATATTAGTAGGTATATTACAGTGAATAACTAATGACTGAAAAATAATAATTTTAGAATTAGTAGCATTAATTGTGAAGACACGTTGTTAGGACATCTTACTTTTGTTAATGTTTATTTTATACAACTTACAATAATACATTTTGAAAACCTGATGCATATTTAATTCAATGTTTTTATATTACTCTATGTTGTAATTGATATTATTTGTATAATATGAATTTATACATCACAGTTTTCTTATTTATAAAAAAGTTATATTTGAATTACATTCATTAATAATTGTATTAAGTAATTCCAAACAAATAAGTGTGTTTATAACTTTATGTATCTGTAGTCTGTACACTCTGGTAATAGGCAGACCCGTGGGCAGTGAATTAAAATGACCTCAAAACTATTTTTTATATTTGTTTTATGTTTTCTGTATGTAGTGTAGAGCGAAAGTGATGCTAACACGGTTCTCACTCCGGTCCTTGATACCACAAAAAAAAAAATGTATGTAGTGTAACTGATTTTATTTAAGGAATTTTTCAGAAAATTACCATTTTCCAGGTCTGTGGAATAACATATGATTATGTTTGTAAACCATATGGGGACTAATATATGCAATACATATGGGAAAGCGCAAATTAAGATAATATTTTGGGCCCTGGGCCTAATAGTAATAGTATATTTACTATCCATACATTATAAGAAACTTACTGCTAGCCAGGAGTCCACTATTGTTTGATATCCTTTGTCAGCTCCAAATAATCCAATAATATATTCTCATTAAATTAATAATTATTCTCTTGATAGATTAAACTCAATTATTTAGGTGTTTACTTCAAAAATGATTAAACAGTTCAGTTAACCCATATAATGATTATAAGCAAATCATATAAAATGCTAGGTTTCATCAATAGAAACACAAAAGAGTTCAAAAACCCTATTTGGTTAAAAACATTATATTTATGCAAGTAATTTGTAAGATCTAGGTTCATCTGGTCCTCTAATAATTAAAAAATATAATAATGAACTTGACAATGTTCAATATAAATTTCTTAACAGAATTTCTCATGCAGGTATCCAATAAAGGTACAGATAACTAAAGATACTGTCAATGTTGTTGAAAACTTCTTGAGCCTAGACTCACTGAGTGCCAGATGTAAATTAACAGATATCATGTTTGTTTATGATTTTTGAACAACCTCGTTGAATGTCCCGAGTTATTATCAGAAATTGGTTTCCGTATACTAGGTAGAAACTAGAGACACTGACAATTTAGATCTATTCACAGTGCCTAATTATAGCTTTAATAATGGTAATTATTTTTTTTTTTCAAAAGCTTTTGTTCTGATTAATCAAATCTCCATCAAATTACATTTTTTTCACTTCCTCGTAGTGTATTTAGATTTAAGACCTTAGAATCACTAAAATCATTGTATTAATATTAATTTTGTTAAAATAATTTTATATATTTTTTAGAATTACCTACTTTAAGCATGTACAACATTTATTATAATCTTTTAAAAAGGGCGATTGCCTGTATAGCTATGTATAATAAATAAATAAATAACCCATATAGAATATTGATACTTCCTAATTATAATATGTTTGATTTCAGAAAATTTGAACAAATTAAAGAAATTAGAATATTTAAACTTGGCATTGAATTGTATTGAAAAAATAGAAAACTTGGACGGATGTGAATCTTTAAACAAATTAGATTTAACAATGAATTTTATAGGGAAACTTGATAGTATTGGATCGTTAAAATACAACACACATTTACGAACATTGTAAGTAAACTCTTAAGTTATAATTTCAAACAACTGATTACTAATAATTGTCTAACACAACAATGGGATCATTGTATTGATAATTAGTTCCATCTTCTATGGGTACCTATAGGCTACAGATCAATAAATGCAATGGACACGCATTAATAATCTAAAAAAAAGAGTAATTGCTTCTCTAAATTCATCAAAAGAGGACGACGGCTTTTACTGGCCCAGTCCATCCCAACCGGGTAGGACAATTAACAGTGAATTCAATATAATGTTATGCTATGAAGGAGGATGAAGTCCCTTTTAAAAATGTATTCATACTTCGACCTTGTCCCCTTCTATTTTTTCCTAATTCAATAAGCATTGAATATTTATAAATTCAATATTTCAATCAATGAAATCTGAGCGCACGGTAGGGCGCCAGGCCAAGTTACAGCAATGCCAGTGTATCTTTACACGAACCAATTCGCTCTTTTTTCTAACCCATATATCTCTGTTTCTTCTTAAGATAAACTTTTGAAATTTAAAACACAGATTAATCTCTAGTAGCTTAAGACGCTGTAAGAAAATGAGCCCTTAATATTGTGCCATTTCAAAATGGCAGGATTTCAAAATTTATAATATTGTTACTGACTGACTGACTGACTGACTCACTGATCATCAAAATTATAAGACACTTCCCGTATAGGTAGAAACACTAGAAACGTTAAATTTGGCACAAAGGTAGATTTTACAGTGTAACTGAAGTGAAAAATCTAAAAATTAGAGTGTATATTTTTAAACGTATGAAGTGGCGCGCTTAGCACGCATAAACGTTTACTTTCAAACAGCGTTACAATATGGTAATAAGAAATTGTTTGTAGTTGAATTATATATATATTTATAAAACATAATCAGGTTTTCGCACATTTATTTTATTCAAATACAAAATATATAATATACTCATACAAATACAGAATATTTTAATAATATTCGTCGGTTTGCGAACGATAATTTTACGCGATAACGTCACAAAAAACATTGATGACAAATTGCATAATGCATAGGAGTCAGGGATTAAGTTTACCAAATGCTTTGTTAGATGTTGGAAACTCAACTTTCTAGTGTGGTCAAGCGCACGTGGCCCTCTCCAGGGAGTTAACTTAATTAATTTTGATCCCTGTCAGGTGAAAGCCAAGAATAGTGCCATTGTTGAATATAACCGTCTAAGAACTTTGTATAGGCTAGACTTAACAGACATTCCACCTAAAAAGGCTCGACGAAAAAAAATAATAGACCGTACTTGGGTATCTTCGCCTGGTATTGACAACGCTCAAGAATCCAATTTCTCAGCTCCTCAACAGAAACCCAAACGGTCTTACAAGAGAAAATCTAAGACGTATAAAAAAATTAATTTAAAAAAAATAAGAAAAATAATAACAAAATAATAACAACACGTCGTCCACGACGTTGAAGCCCACAAAAATAAATGATATCCCCAACAAAAACATAACAGTGAAAAAAGGCCAAGTTCCAAACTCCCTCCCAAAAAGTCGGCCTATCAAAGTAGTGAAATCTACATTGTGGCCAAGTCTGCTATTTTTTAATTCATAACCTCAATGCACTCCTATATTAAAGAGCAACACTTCTCTTTTATTTGTATTGTTTAACACCTGGTCAGTTTCTGAATGAGGAATAAAACATATTATCGAATGTGCTCACTTATGACTTACGAGAGTGATGGGGAGAAAAAGATTCAGAAAAAAGTAAAAGGTTTAGATTTCTTCTCAAAAAAGACAGCGAATCATAGTAAGTAGTGGTATCTACATTGCGGCCAAGTCTAGTTTATTCCTCATTCAGAAACTGACCAAGTGTTAAACAATACAAATAAAAGAGAAGTGTTGCTCTTTAATGTAGGAGAGCATTGAAGTTATGAATTAAAAAATAGCAGACTTGGCCACAATGTAGATTTCACTACTTTGATAGGCTGACTTTTTGGGAGGGAGTTTGGAACTTGGCCTTTTTTCACTGTTATGTTTTTGTTGGGGATTCACATTTACGTAAAATATCTTACAATGTCAAGTTATACAAACTGTTTTTTTTTGTTGGTAAGTCTGTATGGGAAATTAGTTATTTTGATATAAACATTCTGAAATAAATCAAGTAAGCTACGAGCGGTTTTCGAATTCATAGTTAGCTGATGCTAATGCTATATATACGAGTGGCCTATTGAGAGTTGAAGCACTAGATTTACTCACAGTAATAGGTAGGCACTTTACAAAAATCTTGGATACAGGAAATCTTTTCTACTCTAGCTGGTACAATTTTTCCTCGACAGACGACAGTGTTTGCACAAATCGTTAATCCTATGTTTTAATTTGTTCAGGTATCTCACTGGAAATCCCTGTACAGATTATGATGGATACCGCGAGTATGTTATTGGAACTTTACCACAAATTGACGTACTTGACGGAACTGACGTGACTTCATTTGACAAATTAGTCGCCAAACAGCAGTTATCAAATGTTTCACTTAAAATTATTGCCCAACAAAAAACCTATGAAAGTAAATGTTTGAAAATAAAATATAAAAATACGTATAATGAGTATCAACTGATGTATAATATACATTTACTGCGCTAAGTACTCTGTTACTAAAAAGTAGAATAATTTGAATTTATGTCCACTACAGATTTCAGAGTAAAACAAAAAAAGGCATCAAAATCTATAGACATCACTGAAGAAACTTTAGAAACATTCGAAAAAAATTATGAAGAAACAGATGAAGAGTAAGTTTAAAAGTAAATAAATAAAAAGTAACTTAACTGCTGGCTAAAATGATTACTGTAGAATGTTGATAATTAAATATGTAAAAGTGTATAAGGTCGTTAAAAAATGTATAAATAAAATAGATATAATATGTATAATATCAGTGGCAGCGCCAGGGAGGGCCTTGGCGGGCCAAAGCCCCCCTAAATTTGTCTTGGCCACCCCTTGGCCCCCCTTGGCTTCCTAACCACAAACAAACATTTTCTGCAAATAAGAACAATTTATAAAATTTAAAAAATTTAATTTGTTTACTATATAATATTATATTTAATAAATTACACTCTTTTAATGTAAATTTGTTGAAAATTATATCTAATGTTTAAGTGTGTAAATACAACTTATCAGATGTACATTTTTTTTAAAATAAGCTAAAGGGTGGTGTTGGGTTTTTTTTTAAAAATTTTTCTTTAAATGTACAATACATCGTATAAATAAAGAAATATATCTACTCCTTTAAGCCTATAAGCTTGTGATGGGGCAGAGAGTTAACAATAGTTATAATAGTAATAATAGTAATAATAGTAACAATAGTGATAATAATAATAATAATAATAATAATAATAATAATAATAATAATAATAATAGTATTTTAAAATAGCAACATTAGAATAAAATAAACAGGAAATTAGAAATTTGGATAAGTACATCATTTAGCAAAAGAAACAAAATTTCTTAATAAGTACATACAAAATAAAATAAGCATACGAATACAAAGTTAGTCACATTAGACAGATCAGTTCAAAGTTACAATACAATACAATAATATATAAAATAGGTAAACAAAAGACATCATATGAATATATAAGAGAGAAACGTGGCAAGATTCAAAATTTGTTATTAAAAAAATTAGTAGTTATTTTTAAATACATTTAATAAACAAATCAGATCAAAAACAATAATAAAAAATCATAAACACTGAAATCACTGAAATGCGAACTCTTATTTAAGGAGTAGTTAATTCTGCGAATAGCCATTTATAGACGACTTTTTTCTCCTTAACTAGATCTCCATGAATATTTTTTTTCGTATAAAATAGGTAGGACCTAAATAATCAACAAAAGATTGACCAAAAGATTTTTTTGAATATTTTACTAGCAAATTATAGGCTATATGAACTCTTAAATGTCTGTTTTGTTATTGACATTAATAACATTTTTTATTGTAAATAAAATTGCATACTTCTTGTATAGGTACCTTATTGGAAGAACACCTAATTTTATGTAATTCACTTTTGTTGAGTCTACTAAAGATTTTCTATTTAGTATTATTCTATAATACTAAATGTTTGTTGAGAAAAAATGTTCAGCCCCCACCCCCAGGAAAAAATGTCTCTTATAATTAGTATTATATTATAACTTGTATCGTTTAATTTACTTTAATTTGTGTCGAATAAACTTGTAGCATCAATATATATATAGCGTCTAACCACCCTTATTATATAAAATGTTCACAACTTTTAGTTTTTGGAATCAACCAAGTGAAAACACTCCGGAATGTCGCGTTGAGATGGCGCTTCACAGCAGACGAGCTCAGCGAAAGCAAGATGAAGTGAAAAAAACACCCAAAGAAGAAAAGTGGACTCCAAAATTATTCGCCGAAGACGGTCGTCCGTATAATTTAAACCAAGCTAAAGTGCCGTACAAATTGGAGAATGAACACAACAGATATGTTCTCACTGTTCATGTGTACAAGTAAATCAATGTTAAAATAACATTTTAAAGTCATTAAAAAGTGGGAGTTTTATGTTAATGATTAATTACAGTAAAAATAATTTTTTTTTCAAAAATGTGGTTTTCAAACGTCTTTAATAGTTATGTAAAAAATATACTTCCAAAAACAACTAAATAGGTATTCTTTGAGATGATGATATAGTTTTCTATTAAGACAATCGCGCTGTATAATAACATTTAATGCTTAAACATTTCCATTCAGGTTCATGGATACTAGCGAATTGGACTTAGACATTCAACCTACGTACGTGAGGGTCACGGTGCGGAAAAAAATATTGCAATTGGCTCTGGACGAAGAAGTAAGAGTAGACGAATCTAATGCGAAACGGTTGATTGGTTCAAAACTGTTGGAAATAACTATGCCTAAAGTAAATCATTGTCGTATAATGCCATAATGGATAGAAAAAAATAATGTGTTTATTTTTTACAAAATGTATAGGTATTATATTATTTTATTACAGGTAAAACAAATCATTTGTCCGGTTAAAAAACAATGCCCCAAGGACAACGATTTTCGCAATGATAAGTAAAGTAGAATTCTCGTTTTTCATTATTATCTATTTAACTGTAAAATGAAATAAATATTAATAATTTAATATGTGTATGGTAGTAGGTATCTAGGCCGTAGGCCAGGGATGGCGAACCTTCTTGTACCAGCGTGCCAAATAAAAATGTTGGTTGGATTTTGTTTTTTCTGTATGTCAACTAGTTCGATAACCCTTTAATATTATCAAACTTTTACAGTTTTACACATGTGTGTCAATAAAATAGTGTGAGCGTGTCATAGGTTATTAGGTTCGCCATCTCTGCCGTAGGGCCTAGTGTAATAATTATAATATACGGATTACAGACAAATTGTATACGATATTAATCACGATTGGATGAATTTAGAATTAGTAAATATTTCTAATACCTGCATGTTATACTATCAAACTCAATCTTTTTTACTCTTTTTAAAAACGTATGGGTTTATATAACGATGTTATTAATTCCAAGCCAGGCTTTTTATTATATAAGCAGACGATTTAACCAATATTTGACACACGTATAAAATAACTACGAGTACATTTACAGATATAATAATATCAATAGACTCCTGGAGTATCTACCTAAATTCTATCAATTGAGTTGTTTGCATCATAAACGGCATTAATTCATCTAAACTGATGTTATATGCTGTTAGTCAGTGTCGTGCCTAGGATTACGGTTTGCGGGTTATATCCCGCATCCCATCGATCCATAAATCCCCTTATGTATGTCTTCGGTACTACCCACAGTGTTCATTTAAAAGCATTATTACTTATAAAAGCCCACCCCCACTCCATTAGCATTTCCTGGGCTCACCACTGCTGAACATTTTCCCTTCTCCTCACTACACTACCACTTGCTTATAATTGGTGGAGAAAATTAGGTAATGATTTTATCGATAGTAGGCGCCGGCAAGTACTAATAGACAATTTATAAATTTATTTAAAATAGGTAATAAATAATATGATAATACCTACTGACTTTCAATAAATAATGATGCTATATCATGTACCCTTTCTATAAAAAAAACCCAAAATATTAGTAGACTGTGACAAATTAGGTATATTCATATATTTATATATTGTTAGGTATGACACGAAACGGTGGCGGACCACAAATTAGGAGATGTCCCATTTTTTTTTTCATATAAATATATAGAAGATTCTTATTATATCGAACCATCGATATCTCAAATTTTCCGCAATCACAATCCACAAACTCAATTAAAATCCCGTCGAAATAATTATCATTATACAATATAACTCCATACTTGCCTTGAACTTTTTGGTTTAGATCTCTTTTTTCTGTTCTCCTTGAGTTTCAACCACGATAGGTACTCTAGAGTCTAGAGTCTAGAATATCTTTTATCTTGGTTTCGGCTAAACAAGAGTTTACTAGCTGTAGGTAGGTAATAGTCATTAGGTACCTCAGAACAGGTACCTATATTACCACAGAACAAACAATGCTATTACGAATACCTATACTGTACATTGTGCAACATGGGACATTGATATATTGTATAGTACTATAGTACAAACAAATGGTATTTTTTGAAATAGTTGTCGTTTGATTTAGACGGTAGGCGAAAAAAAGTCCACGGAAATAAGATCAGCAAAAAATTTAAATATAAATATGAACTTATCTGTACATAATATACAGTGTTATAAGTTATAACTTTTAAGTCAAAAACATCAGGGGTATACATATAATAGCATCTTATGTATATTTATACTATATTTACACAAAAATTACACAACTATAAAAATATAATACAATAAATGAAGACAAAACAGGTGGTAGCATAATATATTTAGTCAAAAATTATTGTCAAAAAACATCAGTCTTACACTCTTACAGTCTTACGTGTATGTATACTACCTACATTTAATAAAAAATTACACATAATAATTTATGACATTATTTTCACTATAGGTAATATATTATTTGTTGTCATATAGGTACATGCGACATGGTAATTTCTTATTAGGAGTAGAGTAATACATGTGTTCACATTTGTATTTAATTTTTTTTCTGGGCTTTTTTCCCGCGATTCGGTTTAGACAATCCTAACACCTATATCTTGCATTGGATATATTATTATATTCTTATGGATAGTCTGATAGCACCTAAGTTTTGATAAAGAAATGTGTAAAGTATCTAAGAGTCTAAGACAGTGAACGCATTTTCAGATTTTCTAATATGTATAGGTAATGAGTTTTTAATAAAATTAACACAAAATAAATCATGGTTAGGGGGACGAGGTGACCGAGTGGTCTGACTCTTCCGCTGCGACGCAGGCACGCAGCCGGTCGCGGTTCGATCCTCGGCCACCGGGCGGCATTTTTCTCCGGACAAGTCGCGGTGACCGGAGAGCAAGTGCTGCCATCCCCCACCCCCGGGGCATGGCAGAAACCTACGGGTGCCGGGGTGCCCCATTCGAAATTCTGCCAAAACAAACACACACGTGTTCCCCCTACCGTTCCAAAAACCTACAAACCATCAATACAAAAACCTACAGTACCTACTAATAGCTAATGGCCACAGTTGCCGGGCTCAGGATCAATTAAAAAAAAAAAAAAAAAAAAAAAATCATGGTTAATTTAATTCATATTTTATTATAATAGCGTGTTCTTACATAACATCAAGTGTAACTGAATTATTTGTTTTGCTAACCTCATATATTACAAAATGTGTTCAACTTTTTAGTAAATCCAAACTAACGGATGAAGTATTTGATAGCCAAAAGCAAGTGGAATTTTGGAATATAACCAATTCACCAGCAAGTGTAAAGAAAGTTGGAAACCAAAAACCTAAAGATTTCGTCGACAATTCAGAAGTACCACCTTTAGAATAAAGGTTGGGCTCTTAATATCGACCACAAACAATCTAAATAAATTATCATTATTGTTCTAACTGATTTTTAATGAAGATATAGGAAGGTAATTAATAGAATGGATGAAAATATCATAATTTACTTTTTTTTTGCTGTAAAAAAAATACGATACCTATTAATACATTTTCTTAGTAGGTTATTATATACCTAATGTTTTATGTTATGTAATATGTATACAGTTAACCCGATGGTTACTTTTAATTAACCTCAATTATTACCATGGTTGAAGAAATTAGAGTTTATCATAATGTATTATTAGTTGTAATTTTGTTAATTAAAAACAGTGAAAATAATTAGACTCGATTCGGTGTTATACCTAATGCAATTTTCCACATTTTGTTTTTTTCATAATGTTTTGTACCTATCGGCTACGAACCATATTTTGGTGTACAAGCACAACGACATAGGTTTTCAATACAATAAATAAAGACTTAAGGAGGGTTCACATCTCTTTGCGTTGTGTAGTGTTCAGTATATTTAATGTATAGGTAACAAAATGCTGGTCACCCGTTACCTACAAGTTGAATAGGTGTATTGAACTCTACACGACACGGCGAGCTGTGAATTCTCTTTTACTCATTGGGTATGAACCTGCTACGACCTAGTATTTACCTACTTTCTTATAGTTAATACAACATGTCAACAAGAATGTCAGCATGAAGACTAGAAGGAGACCAAACTCCGCTTCTGATAACGTCCCAAAATCAGTCGCACGATATTAAACAGCCACAGGCTATGCTGCGTACTCTGGGTGCTTTAACCCCCGTAGTATACATATATAGGGCGATTATTCATGTATTTTGCGTTTTTTGTAAAATATATGCATTAATTATATTTTATAAGTCATTTTGCACTAAAAGAATAATTTCGTTATAAATTCTAGTATAAATTTGGTATACCTAAATGATAGTATATATTTTTAAGGGCTGTAAAAAAGTTTTACAGACAATTGATCGTTTTGAACTTCTTTAATATGGAATAAGAAAAAACAATTATTTTCATACATTATTTTTTTTGATATATAGGTTTGGATCATATATTTATTTACCCAGACATAGTTATAGTTTGTTCATTAAAGATGATGTAAAAGCATGTAAAAATCTTAAAATAAAAACTCATATTCAAATTTTGGATTCAAAAACTTTAAAAATGTCTCAAAAATCCTAAAATGCACAAGAAAATGAAAAATGATGTATTTATACAACTTCTAAGCCCAAGAGACTTTTTTAGTTTTTACAATTAGTTTTAATTGCATTAATATTTTTTTTATACCTAGTATTATGTTCATGCTCAATAGTCCAAATATAATTTTTATTTTTGTATGCTAAATGTAATGATTTTTTTTTTTAAAAAGCCTATTCAAATTAAAGTTAGGACTGTAAAATACATATTTGGCTTTCTTAGTAAATATTTAATAGTTTTGTTTACAGGTACCTAGTTGTTGTTAACTCATGATATGGGAATTAAACCCCAACAACCCATATTTTGATACCAAAAGTAATATTTGATTGTACTAAGAAAACATAAATTACTCGTAGGTTTTGTTTGTTAGTAAAATTCCTAATGTTTCTAAATATTAAAACATGTTTCCTATAATTGATATTACATAATCAACATATATTTTCCATTTTAATTGACTGTCCATGTTTAAACCTAAGAATTTAACATTATAAGCTTTGCATATATCTTTACAGAAATAATTTATAAATGCTTTAAATACACATACCTCCAGATGATTAATTATTTATAATATAATTTAAAAATTTGACAGTTAAAAAAAAAAGAAAACTTTAAATTGTATTTTTATTTTGAGTTTTCACTTGGTATTATTAAATTGTTTTTAAAATCTTATTTGAATTACAATTTCCTGTTTTTATTAATAAATATTTAGTAATAATTGTAAAATATATATAATTATTAGTATTTAAATTTTAAGTGCATTATGTTTTGAGAGCTTATAATGACAACAAATAATATTTTTTATTGTTTCAAGCTTACAGCACGTAAGAAATAAATGCCCTTAAAGGAAAAAGAGCATTTTATCTTTTAGGAAGAAATGCAAATTCTTTACACTATCAGTTTTAAGTTGTTTTTAAGTTTAAATGTAAATATGGATCATTTTTAATTTTCCTGGTGTGAAATAATTGAAATTCAGTTATTAGTTTTATCTATAAGTGTATTTAAAATATTTAGTATGAAATTAACATAATATATTATTAAGTATCCACTATTAAAAACCCACAGGCCATAATAGGCATTAAGCAATATAAAAATGTATATACATTAAAACAAATGTGTCAATTTGTATAAGCTTTAAAGTAACAAGAAGTAAAAAACAGGTAAATAAATAATTGTTTTTGACGCAAATTTGAATACTTCCTTACTATTTTTTTTTTAATGAATAATAAATTAACAACAAAAAAAAGGTGATAAAATACAAATAAAAAAATAATAATACTAAAAGCCAAAATGAATATAAAATAACAGTGTTAGGCCAGTGGAAATTACTTTATAAAATAATATTTGTATAAAAATATTTATATTTTATTAGTAAATTATATTAGACAAATTTTTTTACAGCCGTTTATGAACACTTTGAGCTTATAAGCAAAATCTTACATTTTATTACAACCCTAAAAGAATTAGCTCACTCAGTATTATGGTTAAATTGATAAATAGGATTTTATGAAATTTTGTACAAAATAAAAATAATAATAATAAATAACTTCCACCGAGGACAACCAATAAAAATTTTTGTGGTTCAAGCCACTAACATCAACTGCTTTATTATATTAGACAAGTATGATGATGTCATGATTATCTCGTTTTATTCAAACAATTATTATTAATAATGGTAACATAAATATTTACATTTATTTGTATGATAAGGAACAGCTTCACAGAAAACCATTTTGCTAAGCATTTGAATAAAAAAAAAAATATATAATTTGTTAATAGGTCTTGTAAAATAAAAATGTTTTAAAGTACACATGATAATATACAATTGTACGTATATTTATATCAATGAGCTTAGCAAAACGTTTATCTCTTGGTGTTTTACAAATTCTGTCAATAATAATAGTATCCATTTAAAATTGTCTGTATTAAATACTTGACTATTCAACAACAGCGATTAGACAATCTGTCTGATTTCCTATCGATATTAATCTTTTCAGGTACATCAGTAGGTTCACGTCCAGGTGTCTTGTTCAATATTGATAATGTAAGGTCAGTAAATGCTTTTTCGATGTTTATATTTGCTTTTGCAGATGTTTCCAAAAATGATATGTTATGTTCACGAGCAATACCTTCACCTCGAGATTTACCAACGACACGTTTATCATCCATATCACATTTGTTCCCTAAAATCATTTTTTCTACATCTTCGTTGGCATGCTGAAAAAAAAAATTATTATAAATAAAATAATTAATATTACATTAATTATAATTGAATAGATATAAAAATATTAGCTAAAACTCAAGTATAATAATCTGTTAAGAATTAATCGAAACATTACAACAACATTTTAAAATTTTTATTTATACTGAATAATAATTATATAATTTATGAATGCATTTGTATTCAAAATATAAACTAAAAATTAGTTTAAAATATAATATATTTATCTAGTTGGTACTTTGAGGGAGGGGGGGGGGTGAAAGTAAAAATCTCCCACTTGTTTTCAAGGGTCAGGTAGTATGAAGATTTTTTACACAAATCCAATTTTCGACAAATTCGATATTTGGTGTAACTTTAAAATAACTGTAGATATATGAAATTTTCACTGAATATTTAAATTAGCATTTTTCATACAATGAACAATTTAAAAAATATTATTATTGGGCATAAGAAAATAATGATTTTCAAGGGGATTCCAAATGGACAATTATTTCAACCAAAATGTACCAATGTTTTGTTAATTATACTGATGGACCAGATAAACCTGATATACATCTGACAACTGCTTTGAATCTGTTAATATAATGTCTTCTTAAGATCGACCAGGTCAATTTTTAAAAATTTTGTTCCTACACTCCTACAAATGTTTTTGAAATTTCAAATGCATGAAATTAGAAATGTTGATTATTTGAAAATTAAATTAAAAATCTTAAAATGTGGCCTGATCGATCTCAAGTAGACATATTACAAATTCAAATCAGTATTCAGGAGTCTTATCACATTATTAGGTCCATCGGTAGGATTGACAAAAAGTACACACAGTAAAAATTATTGTAGATTTAATTTTTAAGAAATAAATTATCATTTCAAATTTATATCAACATCTTAATGAATGAAATTGTGGATAAGTAAATAATGAATAATAATAATACATTTATATATACCTCATTAATGTTTCGTAGCCATTTCACTATATTTTCAAAACTTTTTTCGTTTGTGATATCATATACTAACATAATTCCCATTGCTCCTCTGTAATAGGATGTTGTTATGGTATGGAATCGCTCTTGTCCTGCTGTATCCCTAAAATTCAAAATGTATTACATATAATTTTTAAAAAAATTAAGTTTTTCTTAAATAAGAATCTAACAATTAAAATTAAGTTTTACTTTGAAAATAATTTAAACTTGTAATGCTAAATTAAAGATACCATAATAATATTTTTAATAAGGATGTCATTAGTATTAAAATAATAACAACACAAAAACTTGTTTACTATATTTATGACCTTCTAAGTAAAATAACATTCAACTATTTGTTGCGTAATAAAACCAGACAAAAGAAAAAGTAAAACAACTTATTGGTAAACAACATCTAATATTTAAATTTGATCCTTACCAAATTTGAAGTTTTATTTTTTTCCCTTGAAGCTCTACTGTTTTGATTTTGAAGTCAATACCTGCAAATAAATTGTATCAATTAATAATCAAAAAAATGATAGGTAAATATAAGTAGGTACTTATGTACATTATTTTTTTTTGAAACTAAAAGGATTCATATTGTTTGTTCTTAGAGAAAAGGATGAAGAGCTTTTTACATGTTTCCAATAACTAATAAGTAAAAGAGTATTAAAGTTATAATATTTTATAAACACTTCAAAATGTATCAGTTTTAAATACTTAAAACAACATTTTGTATAATAAAAATTAATTTAAGATTAGATCAATTTCCACATTGATTTATATATTTGCCTCTCGGCTCTTACACTCATAGGGTGTAGCAATATAACCACACTATTGTAGATCAGTCATTAAATGTTCTTAATAAGTGATTTCTGATTTTAGAGTAAACAACTATTATTATTAATATACATAATTACAATTCACTATCAGAAAAATATAGGTTGATCGGTGAACTACATTTGAATTAAGTATTCCTACCCAACAGTGGCATATATAGGGTTTAGGTGATACAATATTTTCATATAGTTTTTGATTTAGTTATCATGAATAAATTGAACAATTCTTTTGAAATTTTTTTCATGCAGTATAGTTATTTATGCACAGGATATTATGGACACACAATTGAATAAAGATTAAAGATAAGTATGTACAGTATCTGAATAAGAGGGCAATGAACGTTCTATTATCTTTCAACACTAGACTGGATACGTAATATAGGATATGGTAGAAAATAAATTGTTGAACTATTGTAACATCTGCAAAAATTGTTTAAAAATAATACATATATGTAAAGCTTTATATTGTTTTTTTGATACCTAGTTTTAAACTGTCGAAGGTAACATTTTTTTATGAATTAAAGGTAATGAGATATAATTGAAAATATTTTTAACATTCATATGCATTCTATGTAATAGTTACCTCTATGTCCAAATTTTCAAATCATTTATGCACTAATATGATATAACTATAATATTAGACATCATACATATTGTGATCGACAAGAATAAATCTTTAAGACTGTACCTACTATTAACACATATATTTTTAAATTTTTTGAGATCATACTATTTTTACATTTTTGTTGTCAAATACTAAATTAAAAAAACACATAGAATTTTGATAAGTATTTAGTTTTAATGTTTTGAATAGTACACAGTATTACTGACATTAAAAATAAAGTAATTCATTTAATTATTTGTAATTAACATTTGATATCTATCCATGTTAAAAAATAACGTTGGTGGCTTAGAGAGCTATTGTGTGTCAGATTCTGACAATGAAGTAATTATTACATTAGTTTTATTGATTGTATTTTCTAATAAAAATTGATAAAACTCAATTATTAAATGTTCAATTAAATATGACTAGTATTTGTAATTTTATTCTAACAGAGATTTAGTTAGCTTCTGATATACCTATGTGATGCTATCTTCCTTTGACTAATCTGAGCTGTTAATAATTATGAGTAATGCCCCATCATATGAATAATAGCAGATGATTTAATCTGCCTGATTCACTGATATGTATATCTTGTAAAAAAATTTCTGGTATGCAAACTTAAATAGATAGTTAAAAAATTAGTAAATGTTATATAAGATATTACTAGAATCATATTAACACAGTACAATAAAAAAATCAATATCAACATCATATTTTGAGAATAGAATAAACTTTAATTTCAGGGAAAATAATTTTCCCAAGGTCAAAAGAGATTTAATTTACCCATTTTTTCAAATAACTGTCTCATATTTTTAGTTGTAATACCTAAGACTTAATAGAAAAAAAATTATATTTTGTAGACTGAATAACTAGGTAATAAATTATTATTTGTGATCACTTAGATGTAACTTTATAATTTTTGGTTAATCTAACTTTTTCACTGGTGTTGATACCTTTCATGAAGTATTATATAGTGCCGTAGCGCGCTATAAATATATGTATTCCCAAATCTAATATTGTACAAAAACTTTCTCCAAATGGCATAACCTTGTAATTAACTAGAAAAATCAATAGACAGTACCAATCACATATTGTTTAATCAAAAAAAATAATTCTAAATAGGTATTAGAATAAAGGTTTTAGATAGTGTGCTCTAAGAAATTAGCTACATTTTATTTCACCTGGATGAATAATAATATAAAGAATTCTACTTTACACATTGGTAACACAATATAATTTTGGAATTTTTTAAAAGAATAAATAATGGTATTCCAGCAGATAGGGAATTTAATAATACCTAGGTATCTTGATACTAATAATTTTAAAAACGCCTCTGGAAACTATTGATCTACCTACATTCTAGTACGTGGTGTACCTATATTTGTGACTTGAGAGTTTAAGCTCTTATTCTGGACTTGGTTCAGACAATGTTCCCAAAATACTTTTAAAATTGTGTAAGTAGCCCTATCTGATATATTACAAATTATTTTGGTTTGTGTTGGTTTTTGGTCATTTATTAGTTGCTATTTTCCATCTTTTTGAAAAAACAGTTTTAATAAGTTTAAAAAACTGTGTCAAACTGCGCCTAGTGAAACTTATATACATAGACCTATTTCTAAATACTCAATAATTCCTAAGTTGTTCAAAAAACTAATAGTCATCAATATCATGATTATTTAAACATTGATTACAGATTATAATAAGAAAAAAGTTTTAATAAAATCTATCTGTGCATTAGCAAACCAAAACGGATGTAAATGAGGCTGGTCTACGGAAACAAAATCTTCAACATTTTTATTCAAATTAATTAGAACTCATGGAAGGCAAAATAAGGCATTAGTAACTAGTTTTCAAGTAATGTTCCGATCCACATTTTTTTTTTGTGCTTTGGTGGACTCTACAAGGGTCTATTATATCAAATTATTGTTTTATTTATTCAGAAAAAAAACTTGAAATTTTTATCTAACCTAAACTGTAAGATTAATTTGTTTTATCAGATACAAAGAAGGCTAACAAACAATTATTTTTTTGGTTTATAGTATACAAGTCAATAGTCAACAGAATTTTCTTCCAACCAGTAGAAAAATAGATTTGAATTTTCTTTTTTAATAGTTATAAATTAGTTGAGGAAGGATTCAACATCTTCATGTGTTATCTGAATCTTATAAAACATTTGACATGGCAAAATTGTGTTCAGCACAACTATTTTATGTTGTTAAATTTAATATTAAAGTAAGCTGGCTTATCATCAAACTTAAAGAGGCAGGTACCTAAGTAGATAATATTTAGGTCTTTTATTGATATTTTAATTTTAAAATGAGTTTTAAATTATGATCTTGCTTATAACTGTGTAAAATATTACAAATTTAAAATTCTCATAATTCCTTAACAAATTTAACATTTCATGTAGAAACCTATTAAACAAACTATGATCAAAATAATCTGCATAGAATTTTCACTCAAGGTAATTTATGTAGGTAATCTAGATTTATCCTTTAATAGTCTAGGTAACCGATTTAGGACATCATAATTCTAATTATTAATCTTATCCATTGTCTATTCTTTGGTGTATCACATACTCATAGGCACCTATATTAACAAATAATATTAGTTCCTAGGTAATGTATATTATCATAGGTATAATAATTTATGCTGTTCTTTTATATTTTGAATTACATAGGTACCTTATCATTTTGAAAGAAATTTAAACAGTAATAATGCTTATCTACATGAAATCAAAATAAATATTAATCAACAAATTTGAATTTCAAACTGAAATTTTATTGATTTATTTAATTTCAAATTAAGACAAAATGCAGACAGTTGGATGAGTAATGTATTTAAAATGATGAATGTCTTTAACATATGAAAATACCTAGCTAATTATTTTTTTTACATTTTGGTTGGTAATACTTAATTTTAGTAGATGCCTCTTAATATAGATACAGTCCTATAAAAACATATTATCCTTATTTTTATTGTTTTTCTTTAGGTATATAAGTTCTATACACAGTCAAAAATTGTTGACTGCATATCTTTTGAGATTGATCCTTAGTAGATTTTCTTAAGTTATTATTCATTTCTAATCTACCTAGATGAAATGATTGAATAGAAAGTGTAGGAAATTATGTATCTAAATAAATTAGTGTTTTGATATGATGGGTCATTGTACTCTTATAAAATGTAATGAATATTTTTACTTATTCTACTAGGATACTCGGCGCATGCTTATGAATATTTTATTAGTATACCTACTACGGATGATGAATATAGGTATAATATTAATATACAATCATATATCAGAACTATAGAAATACTTGAAGGAGAACAATGTATTAAATTTCTTTTAGATTTTATTATTAGGTTACTTACTTACCAAACTTGGTATCTTTTACAATTGACTAGGTATTTTAGAATAAAACATGATATGGTATGTTTAAATAGAGTAGGTAATATTAGTACCTAAATTCTTCATTACATAATAAGGATATTAAATTTCTTGTATTTGTATAGTTAAAATTTAAAATTCTTAAAGATAAATGAAAATTATTATTGTCATCTAATTGCATATGATGCTGTAAGAGCGGTACAGTGAGTAGTTGGTAGTTACTATAATTTAATTGAAGTTTACATGCATTAATAACAACACATTAAGTAGGTAAATAATTTTACCATTTCTCTTACATAAAATGATTAGAAAATTGTTAGTTTAAAAAAATTAAATGTACGCCTACCAATTAGGTACTAAACATGGCAACCAGCCTAATAGTTAAAAGATAGGTATTTTCAAACAACATTTTTGAATAATTAGGTATCAAAATTAATGATTGGGCCATTAATATTTTTAAGAGACTTTAAACTTAACTATAACTCTCTTTGTTTTTAAACTATAAACAATAACATATAGGCATAGCACGTAATTGTACTATCTACTGTTTGTTAGTTATTCAAATCTATCATAGCATGAAATAGTATTCTAACAGTTTAATTGATTCTTTTAAAAATTTACAAACAGAGCTCATAAATATTAATCAATGATTAAAAAAAATTCTTTTAACTCATTACATCATTGTTATCGCATAAATGAATGCAAATGACCTTAATAAAACAAAGATGATTTTTAAAATACGACTTTGATATGCATAGATATACCAACTTTAAATTGCTATCGGCATAATATTATCAATCTATTAATTGCAAGATATGCAAAACTGTTAAAGCTCATGTAGGCAATTCAATTATTTGTTTTGATTACGAAAAACTTGAAAAAACTAACTTAATGTAGGTACCTCTATTTCCCATTTTGCATTATTAATAAATAATAATCATAGCAAATAGAAACAAAATTAATACAAGATAGGTAATTCTAATAAGTTTGAATGAATTTTAACTTAATCAAACAATCCGAGGCAACACCTGTTAAACACTGCCATACCAATGGATACTAATAGGACGTCATTCCCCAAAACAGCCTTATAACTTTCATTGTCAGGCTCACACAGACTCTATACATTGGATCTGAAGGTCGTCATGGTCTGGTATTATAGATAATACAGTACATACGTACAACGTCCCACCGACTAGCGAGTATCATGTGTCGAGACAATGGATCCAACTATCTGAGGGGATTGGGATACCGAAAAAACACTGGCTCACTAGATAAATAAATTAAATTCAACTCTGACGACATCGACATCGCCCACTCACCAATGGTCGAGATGAACGTAGTGGTGAACGCATCGTCTGAGAACCTGAACAGAATACATGTCTTGCCCACGCCCGAATCGCCGATCAGCAGCAACTTGAACAGCAGATCGTACGTCTTTTTGGCCATTACGGACTGCCGGGTATCGTCTTCTTCAGAGAAAATTCAAAAGTTTGAGGGAGGGGGTTAGTGATAGGCGGAGGGGTGGATCGGAAAAGGCGCGAGTAAGGCGGGCCCGCGAAGAAGAAATTGCGTATCGGGACGGTGGTGCAAACCGATCAACGATGTCGCGGGTCGATCGTTTTTAAAAATAGTAAATATTTTATCGACGGTTTGTGGCGCGCTACGAATGTTTTTTTCAGCGGTTTTGCGGCGTATTTGACGGACGGCGGCGACGGAAACGACGATGACGAGGTGGTAACGTGTCACTGGGTCTAATGGTAGTAATTAACTGCATCAAGTGTTCAAGTGCAACGCGAACGGTGAACCCCGATTAGCGAAAATAATATGATTTTATTCTATAAAAAAACGTTATCTCGGCCGTCGTCGTGATCGTCGTCGTCGTGGGTCGGTCACTCGGTCGGTTATTGTGTAATGTGTGATGGCCAAGTTCCCACCTCTACGCGGCGGAGATTAAGACAGTGTGACGTTTGTACGTTCTGTTGGAAAGGCGGTAACACTGTATTCCCGGGACGCCGCCGTTTTCGTCTTTCAAAAACCTAACCGTCCCGACAATAATGGACATATTTATATTACTATCAGCTTATTATCATTAGTCCGCCAGACATTGATTGATAATTTTCAAATTACAAATTTAAAATAGTAACTTCTAGCTTCCATTATGGAAATCTACGATACTTTTTATATTAATGAAATATTACGGATTGTACAAGTCGAAATAAAATAATAAACAACTAACTTTGTTTTTCATAATTTCATAAACAGGAAACAGGTGTGTTTTTACTATTTAAATAATTGTTATGTCGAATTTATGAAGGTAATATTACTTAACTAATTAATTCAAAGAGATAACTTACTTATGTTTAGAACATAAAAGCTTAAAAAGTATAGAAAAAATTAATTTATGAAATATGAATTACTTATGAATAGGTATTTACCTAGAAAAATCGTGGTCTACTATTACTATTTAAAAATAAATAATTTTATAATAGTAATAAAACTATTTTGGAGAAATAAATATTAAAATAAAAGTAATGTAAAAACTCCTCAATTTTTTAAAGATTTATTTAAAAATGATTCAACGTTTCTTTAGGATATTTAAAATCTATATTTAAGACCTGTTTTTATACTATTAGAAGTCGTAATGGGTCTGATAGAACTTCCTGGCCATGTATGTTTCTTTAATGTCCTACATTTTTCCTAAGTTACAAGATTTTTCTAAAAATTTAAACTATCAGTATTTCTAAGTTTTTTGGTTCTTTTAAAATAATATTAGAATGTATTTCTGGTTATTTAAAACGTCATTATTTGTTTAAAATATTTTGCAAATGAACCAGAATGTTTTTAATTTCTTCACGTAGCTTATTTTTGTTTTTGATCTTGCAGATTTGTAGCACCTTATAGGTATTCGCGTACGTTTTGGCTCTGATATTATAATAAAGCTTTAACAATTGTTTGGCGCTTAAATAATTAATGATTTAGTGATTTAGTCACCATACACGTGATGTGAGACGGGAGTGGTTGACAATTTGACTATTAGAGACTAAATCCTAACTCGTGTCTAACGTCTGTCGTCTGTGAATGTCTAAGACGTATACCAACAATGAAATAATAACTTACCTTAATCTTTATTATAGTACGATATAAAATTATGTTTTAAATAATAATACGAATTCACGATATCAACTGTTCGATAAGTACGTGCGTCGTGACCGACCGCCACAATGTGTTAATCGTTATCGTTGTTATATTTTGATTTAGCATTACATTTTTTTTTGAATTCTCTGAACAGTGAACATAGATTTCACTTTAAAAAAATATAGTAATTAAATCAATCTGCTAGAAATTGTCTACTCCTAAATTATTGCCGCAAGAGATAATTTTCATTGTGGACAATAAAGTGTGACTGGCTGCGTCTAGTTTTATACTGAGATTTAAAAAAAATGCTGATTGATATCGATATACAGGCTTATCAATTCCATAATTTAATTACTACAAATAAATTTATAAATCTCAATAATTCATAAAAATGTATAAAATATATATAATTATAATAAAATAAATATTTCCATGTATTATCCTTTAAAGATGTTTTCCCTGGCACCCTGAGAAAACCTTAGTCCAAAAAGAGCGCCTCAAATAGAAAAAGTTAGGGAAATCGCTGTTTTAAAGCATTATATACCTATACTTAAATGCTATGACTGGTGCGTAATAGTGAATATCTAGGTATAAGTAAGTTGGTATAAAGATTTGTGTACAAACACTGCAAACTATACAAGCACTCTAATTTTAAGAAATGTTCAAATCTTTGAAAATATTAGCTACAGGACTGTGTTTTTTTATCACCCTTCTGATCACTGACGGACTAACTCCTCTCCTGGCCACTAGGTCTTAAACTTAATCCAGCTTCGATTGTTATGTTGTATCTAGTACCTATATACATAAAGAATAATAATAATACAATTCTTTTGACGTTAAACATAAATTATATTCATACATAGTTGATTTTTTTTATATAGTTTTATTGATACACATACAATATACATACACATTTATTATAGATTGACACATTTAATTAATACACGCACACATACATGGTATAGGTAGGTATATATATAATTATACGCTGCAGTCGACTCTGGGCATCTCAAACTACGGTACGAAATTCTTTACCCAAATACGTCATGTTAGATTATATGAAATTCACCTCCAATAACCTTCATAATAGTAATATATAATAATATCAATATTATACCTATGATGGTATACGTATCACGTGCCGTCGATGTCGTGCCAGCGGGATTCCATCGATCTTTTAACTTTTTTTATTAGGGGAAAATAATGTCCATGGACTTCGCCAGTATGAATAGTTTTAAAACGATACCTATCGATTCCGCCAATTTGAAGCAGTGAGTATATTATAACACCTGCAGAAAAGTATGGGGAAAATATAAACTTCCTGAAAAAATTACAAATCGTATTTTCATTAATGGATTTTTTAAGTTGACAGTTTGCACAGACACTATGTATACACAATTGTATTGGTACTTATAAGACGTGTATAATCACTTAAAACTTTAAAAGTTAAAAATGACAATTATATATGTTTATTTTTATGTACCTTGCCATGAGAAATTAATTTCAACAATTTAAAATTTGTTATAGAACTATATAATTATACCTGTGCTGGAGGAATCGATAGGACCCTCGTATCTGCGCTCATTTCGAAATCTTTGATTTTCTCGAAATCCGTCCAATTTTTTTAAATTCCTTCCGGCCCGACCTGTCCGATTTACCGAGAGTCGACAGTATGTGAATTATATTGTACAGTTGTGGTTATGAACACACACTCGTTTAATACGATTTATAAGTTTATTTCAATACGATGTATCTGCGTCTACAAGGATGAATATAAATAGATACGCGTTTGTCGGACAAAAACTGTTTTAGACAAATCATATACCTAACAATATTGTAATTAATACGAATAATTCTATAAATTAACGATATGCATGCGTAATAGTTTTTGATATGTTACGATTATTTTAATATTATTATTATATATATAATATATTATGTATTATACGTATATATGATATGTAATACGATAAAAGTAGTTACCGACATAATATTGCGAAATGTTATATATACCTTTATACCTATAGGTATTTGTTGTGTTTGCTTTGCTAATAAATTAAAAACATTTTAAATTATAAAAAGAACATCGAAGTACGTAATTTATACAACATATAGTCAATAACCAAATAGAATTATTATTACGGTATGTCATCGCGTACAGTATTATAGGTATATTATTACTATCTATTTCATGTATAATGAAGCCGGTCAGAGTTTTATAATAACTAATTATTATAAAGGTATCTACTGTATAAATATATTCAATAGTTATATTGTGTACAAAAATAGGCCTAAGTTTAACACCACGTGACGTTACAAGGTTTACAACAATAATTAATTTAATTATCCTATTTATATTATTATATTTATTAAGGTATACTAACCTTAATAATATAGGTTTTCAAACACTCGGTGATGTTTTTATGGTTTTTATGTTCTTTAAATATATCTAATATTCGTTAGAGCGACATTACAATATAGTTATACAACGGAAGGCGGCCAAACGAAAATAAACATTCTATTTTCTAAGCGGTAAAATTATACTTAATATTATTAACATTATCATTAATATAATATTGATATGTCGTTATTATTATAATTTATATCATTATTTAAGTTTTTTTTTTGGATTTTTAAATATTATTTTATTATTCGTCTAAAATCGCAGTCTGGTTAATTGACATAAAATACACATACGATTTGTTTTGCCTTAACTATCGGCTACAAGACAGTGCCTAGGTGGGTGTGCAGTCTGCGTAAGAAAATCAATATTTATCAAATTAGCCCGTCCACTATATATAAAAAAAAGTATATAAATATAAATATATATTTATGTAAACGCTAATATGTAACGGAATTGACAGGCAGATATAAATATTTTCTTTTGTAAAATTACAGTAGGCCATTTAGAGCGTAGCAATAGTTTAGCAATATTGTTTATAAATAAATATTTTAGGCATCATTATATAACTTTACTTAAATCTATCTCTTAAAGCTAAACATTCAACTTATTTTCTAGATAGGTAACCATAAGTTTTTAATTTTTTTTTTATACTTAACAATATAGATTTTTTTTTAAATATAATGCGCGTTCTTTAAAAATATATTTTATGTTTAATACGTGTTTTGTTTAGCCAACGACAGTATAATATGTTGCATGAGCAAAAATGGATGTACTAAAATAGTTCTGTGACAAAGTTTTACCTCAGTGATTATGATATGATTAAGTTAGTTCCTAATAGCGTGAAAGAGGAGCATTACACCTTTTAAAAAAAAACATGTTTTCTATCAGAAGATGACTAACCAAAAGTATGAAATTTTTAGGATTACTAGGTTCATAACTATTAATTGTTTACAATTTATATCACAAGTATTCATACCATCTCGAACTAAAGGGGGTAACTATCATATTTTCAGTTTAAAAAAAAATTAAAATCCAAGGGACGATTCTTATTAAGGTTTTTGGTGCGAAATAATAATGGAATTACTTGTAAGCTAATAACCTGTGTAGTTGATGCTTAATCAATAAAGAAAAAAAAATAAAGAAATTATGACGGCTGAAGATTTTTTTCTATATAACTTTTGAGATTATAAAAAATATTATCATTCAGGTAGTTACATCTTTTTAGAAACAAAATATTGGTTGGATGATAAGATAAATTTGATTTCCAAGTACCTATCAAATTTAATTAAATATTCTATTATGTGACTTTCATACCAGTACATGATTATTGAGTATTGATAAATGGTACGTATTTATATAAAAGAAAAAAAATGATTTTGTTGATATTTTGAAATAGTAATGCATGAAACAATATTGCTCCTCTTATCGTATTAATAAATATTGTTTGACGAGAACTGCTTGTATACTGCTGAATTATTATAAAATTAAATTATGTGATATGTATATGATAATATATAGAAAAAAGCTGAAAGCTCATTTATTTTTTGTTATAAGAATGACCAACGACGATGATATCTTTACTGTCTAAAAACAAAATATTTACTTGTTACATAATAATATATACTTAACATATTAATATGCAACAGAGGAGTGAGCCTCAAAAAGTTTTCTCTCAAAAAGTAATAAAATAGTATACACAATATTTTTCAAAAATGAAATCTCTATACCTACATCATCCTTAACATCGTCTGATTAAATAAAAACTGATTTACAACATATAATCGCAAAGCCGTTCAATGTCGACCCACGAATGCGTTGGCTTTGTACTCGTTTGGCAACAGTTTTTTTTTGTTTGATTAATTATTATAATATTATTATAGATTTTGATAATTAAAACGATAATGATAAATTTCGATTGTTATTACAGCATTTCTAAAAAGTTCTTGATTTTTTCTCATTTTCTTTTTTTTTTGGGTATAAAAATATGAAAAAAACGATCATCATAAATAATCTATCTTTAGATCCTTTAAGAGATACGATACATATACTATCTAGATTGTACAAAAAGATTCATTTTCTCAAGCCGTTTTACACACGTACACATAAATGTAATTGAGCTATATTAAAAAGTTTACTTATAGTTGATATTATTATCATCAATATTAAAGAGCTAAGATTGTCTGCATGTTGATATTGTGATCCCAGTGTAATTGGACGAAATGGACTCGAGTTTAAAGAACGTGCTGTGATACATTAATATACTGCCTCTATACTACTTATATGATATATTATTATACATTTATACGGACAATTTGACTAGAAGACACTAAATACCTATATTTTAATTTATATATCATATATATATAATATATTAATATAATATACGGTAATATACGTGGGTTTCTTACGTAAAAAACAGTGTCCTTTCCGCATTTATTTGAAACGGATAACAAGCGTTTTATATCGTTATTTTTAGTATTTTTTTTTATGGTTAAAATGATTATTATATTATTTTTAACATTAGTATTATTATATCATTATTATTATTATTATTATTATTATTATTATTATTATTATTATTATTATTATTATATACTCTAATTAACACTCGACAACTCTCGTTGATCCTAACACTTGTATCACGTTTCAGATTCCATTAGGTTGTGTCTACGTATTTAATGATATGCGCGTTTCTGATATGTAAGTTTTGATTTTGCAGCATATACCGGTGCCGATGTCGACGTCCCGAGCCACAAGCACCCTTATTGGCCGTAAAATGTTTTCAACTTCTCGTTATTTTGTTTTTTTTTTGTTGGTTTGTTTTGATATGTTTAAATTGTTGACGTTTTTATTTTTTCATTTATAACAATCCATGTGCCGGTAGAACGAAGATGAATATTATGGCGAAGGAAATTTGAGGATTGATAGAAGCAAACGATGACGTGAACGTACAATTTTCGTTGGTAGTTGGCATCGAGTCTGGATAATCTTCACAAGTAATTTTACTAGTTTCTTTCAAGGCTTGGGCTAAACAAATGGTAAATACATAATATATTACAATGTTAAAAGTACACCTCAATACAGTTTTTTGTGATATCATAAACTTTCAAAATCAAAATTGACAACTAGAACGATTTCTAGATTTTATTAACATTTATGAGCTATCATTTTAAATGTTAAATTACGCAACAAAATATAGGCAAGTACTCCTCCTACACAGTAGGTGCTTCATAATTTAGTAAAGCACTGTAATGGATGTGAACAATTTGAATTCAAATAATTCAATGATAAATCATTGCATATGAAAAAAGATTCTGAGCGGATGACGGTCAGCCTATATTACTAAGTATATATTTTTATTATGTATTTATATTACTGTACTTGTGAGGAATCTCGTATCAAATGTTAAGTACATAAATATCAAGTGTACATAACATTTTTTTTATGAATTTACTATATTTCATGAACTAAATTTTAAATAAGTAAAAAAAATTAAAATACATATAAATAGCACAAAAAGAGTTTAAATATTTTGAAAAATATGTCATGGTAATTTGATGCTAATATGAATATTTTTTGGAAATTTCAAGTCTCTATGGTAATTTATTTCATTTATTTTTAAGTTACAACATAAAAACAAAATTGACTTTGCCGAAAATTGGTTTTGCATAAAAATGTCTGGTTTTCACTGATTTTTTTTTGTTTTTCCTTATTATTATAACAAGTAATGAGAATTTTCAATTTTTACCTCTTAAAAGTTAAAAGTACTAACTAGATTCAGTTTCCTATCGGAAAATATGCTCAAGTAGAAAATCGAAGCATTTTTACTGCTCTAAAAGGTGACGACAGTATAAAAAAACACATCATTGTTGAATCAATATACACATCGATCTGCTCAGTATCCAAGATATATTATAATTAGTAGTTAGTACCCACACGTAGTTGAATTATGTTTGTATATTGTATTATATTAGGATAATATTTTATCATATTTGTATAATTCTTAGAATAAATTTAGTCTTAAATGTAAATAGACTGATTGTTTTGTTAAAAAAATTGAAGCGAATGAAAAAACAATCAGCTTGTAGATTGGATTAAGTCAAATTAGCACATAATTATTAATTACACTTCAAGAGAATTCTTAAGAAGTTCTTGCTTATTCATTCTTTCAAACACTTGCGAATTTAAATAATAAATGAGTATAGTACCAAATTCGCATAATTCAAACAGGTACATCCTATACTATGTATATTATGTATAATACTATTCGTATTAGGTACCTACTTAAATTGTTAATATCTATACTAAACAAATTAAAAACTAGTCATTAACTTTAAAACATAAAAGTTGCAGTCTTATTACTAATACGTCAAACTTATACTGAACAATAATTCGTTTATATTAAATATATTTATAATTGTTTATAATTTATTTTCTAATCGAAACGAATAAATCAATCTTTATTACAGGCTTACCGATTTTCGGGAAAAATCCGTTCCAAAACTGGCATTCAGCTGCTCTAGGTCCGTAACCTACGTGCAATTCAGCAGCATTCCAAACATGATATATCGGGTTTGATTCATTATATAGTGGCCAATCTATGTCATCTGAGACAGGTGTTCTAAAAAAAAAATTTCTATGAGCTAAAATGAAACATAGGTACAACATTTTTCATTGTTATACAATGTGATCACGATTTATGATTACATTTAAGTATTTCGGATGTAAGACCATTAATTCGATTCGTGTTTGGTTTATTTCTTAAAGTATTGAACATTAAACTTATTTTTGAAAAATTAAAATTTTTTTTTTTGTTATTACATTCATATACCTCATAAGGAAGGGTCTTTTTTTTAGTTAAAATTTGAATAACATGATTTTTAAAACAACTTGGAATTATACAGTTTTTATCTTAAAAATTGAGTAATTAAATGTGAAGGTAGTCACATGAAATTACACGGAACTTCATAAGTAGCAAAAATTGTATGCGAAATACAAATAATGTGAATAATAATAAAAATACAATGGTTTTTCGTTATTATTTATTTATTTTTTTTTGTTTACCGAACCTTTGGTATGTATTTGCATGATTTACACTGATTCGCCTGATTTTTGCTCATGTATACTCGCGTATGAAAAAAGTATACTCATTTGAATTTTTCAAAAATGAAAGCCTTCTATGCAGTGAAAAAAATCCGAATCAAATTATAGGTCTTCCAGCTGAATTATTTAGTTTAATTTTTAATCGTAATCACACTGAATAGTTATTTGTGCTACCTAGACACAGCTGTTATCTGTAGTAATCTAAATAAACTGATACATATAAAGATAGCCGTAGGTAGATGCATACATATACGTACAAACATACATGATGCATACTTACATACAATGTCATACATACATACATTCATACATACATATATACGTACAGAAATATGCTTTTTGTATAATACAATATGCAATAGTAAAACAGCATATTCATTAGAATTCAAAGTATATAAATATAATATATATATACTATACAGTAATTATGATATGAACTATGGTAAATACTTAATGGAAAATATGAATCGTATGTAGTATTGTGGATACGATAATATAATCTAGGTAGTACATGTAGTCTATATAGGTAATACATATGAGAATGTTATGTTTGTCTAACCACACTGTGATTGGCGGGACTTGGCTAGTGATATAGGGAGAAATAGTGGAAAATATGTTTGTCAGTATGGTGTTAAAGGCTGATAGCCTACCAAGAAGAAGAATAGAATGAGAGCATACCTCCACAGTAAACAATGGCCAATTATTAATTAAAATATATTTCACGAATGTAGATTGTATAGTTAGCAGTAAGTAGTTACACAAGAATAAAGTTCTATTTCTATGGATTTTAATGTAAAAGATAGTGGTGTAAGTAGGGTTAAGGTTATAGGCTTCAACTCCCTTGAAATTTCATCCACAAAAAAAATCGTACTTACCACCATCGTAGACATTTTCGTTTTTGGCTGATTAAGAATTTTGTTAAACGTTTACATGACCTGAAGATAATCTATAGATAACTGGTTAAATACTCAAAACGTAGACTAATTATTGAGACTAACCCTATAATTTATTTTAGCCATTTATATAAAAACTGTTAAACAAAAAATAATGTAAGTGTGATGAACCGTTTTTCCCACCCCACGGGTCTGTGATTGATCTTAGGCAAAATCATAATCAAAATAAAATGCTGCGAACGCTACCGGCAAAAAATTTTAACTAGAAAATATAATTTCTGAGTCTAGCACTATACCTAAATAATATTTAGGTAGAAGGTACACTATTCCACACTTGTTGTTTTTTAAATTTAAAATAGTGACATTAAAACATCTTAAAAAAAGAAAACTTAGATTGTTGACGAAACGATTATTAACTTCCATAATAATATGAAATTTAAATTAACAATTTACGACTGAGGGATATTATGCAGTTGGTATTGCTGGTAGTATATTTGTGCAATATATTTTATGTTTGGTACATATCATGAAAATCTGTATTTGTACTATTTTGATTTAAACTAGGTATCTAAACCAATAAAATTATATTTTATATTAAATTGGAAGTTATTGCTTATAAAGCGAATGGTTAGCAGTATATAATATTATGATTGGTTTTTTGCTATACTCACAAGTACCAGCAAAATTAATCATCTCCAGCTGCAATGCTCGCAAATCCAACATTTTATAATACCTATATATAGTTGGGCAAGACATACATCTAACTAGAAAATGTATTAAATGTTTTACTACATTTTTTTCAAGTTTTTTTTAAATTCACATCGTTGTATTTAGATAATGCCTCCCATATAACAGGCTTAATATATTAATATGTATATATATATTAGAGATCTAAAAGGATAGTTTTTTTTCGATAAGAAATGGTCCGAATATTAATTCAAAAAATTATACCAGCCTAGACTTGGTCCGTAAATTAATATTATACACCTTTCCAAAGTATAGACATTTCACTTTACTATCTCCAATTTTCGTTAAAATGTAATAACTGTAAAATGTACAATATACTTAATAAAAAATATGTAATTTATATATATATACATATATTCTAATAATGTTTTGTTTTATACTGAAATATTATACATAATTCTATAAAATTAAATCTCTAAAATAAATATTTTTTACTTTTCCTATAACATTTTGAGGATAATATTATATATGATATAAGAATTAAGAACTTTAAATGTTACCAATTGTCGTGTATGGTGTAGTACTGTAGTGTGTACCATTGATAATCTATATTATAAGGTAATTATTTGTATTATTTGACGTATTCGAAATATTTTTAACTTTGTGTAAATATATTCATCAACTGTTTGATAATTATTTTATTTTTATTTTATAATTTTTTAAATATCTAACATCTATGTAAAGTAAAACTTGAAAATATACCTCCTAATTATAATGTATTTACATTATCGTCAAAATATTTAGGAAAAGTAATATTTTAAATTTTCAATCTTAACCTATACAAATTGAATATTTTCTACTTTTTAAGTATATTACTACACTATATAAGTATATATTTGTAATTAAATATTAATCATGTTGGTAATTACACTAATTAGAGTTAAGAAAATATTCGTTCAATAATTTGCATGTGTTTGTGAGAAAAATTGTAGTGTGAGGATTTTTTTTCCTATGGTCGGGCATTTTTTTTCGAGGTTCTTGGTCTGGGATTTTTTCTTGGGATTTTTTTTCTCGGGGATTTTTATTCCGCAATTCGGATACAACTCATATAATCTGTGGTTATAAAAACAGTTATAGTTAGTGTGCTATGCATTTAAATAGAGTAACGGTAAAATGTTTGATAAATGTTATGGCAATAGGTAAGTCAAAAATGAAAAAAATAGTTTTCAGCATACTCATTTCACTCATTTTCGGTTAAAATTCGCATGGCCGCATAAACATGCATAATACATATTATAATATATACCAGAAACCAGAAATATATATCAACTATATACAATAGCATGTACAAGTACAACCGAAGGAACGTCTGCAAAGTTCGTGCGGAAGTAATTACGCAGATAGTCCGGATTGGTTTATCAGCATTCAGTTGAATAGTTTCACTTATCGGTCAATCGTCCGGCAGGTAGCATAATATTTACCCTTTTTAAAACAACCACCCGCGTGACCACGGCCAATTATATTATGTATGGCTATTTGTTGTGCGTAATGTGTATTATTGTTGCATGTCGACGGCGCGTCTAGTCCTTTCAAGGATTTATTTAATTTTTTTGGTTTTTTTGTTTTTATTGTGTTAACAGAAGTTGATAACGAAGATGTAATTACCTGAATTTCTGCGATAACAACAACGTCGACTTGCACAAAATCATTGATGCAAAAATAAAGTGGTCTATGGGTGGTTAGGGGGGGGGGGGTAAACTTCGTCCCTCAAAAATTATACGGGTTACCTTAATATATTATAATATTATATATTCTGTAAGACTTTCGTTCCCCTACCTAATTTAAAATTGCGCCGTATGGGCAATAATAATTATTTAATAAAATACAACAATTAACAAGTGTGTAGGATTATAGTTATACACTCTGTTGTAATAAAATACTGTGAAATATAGTAAGTACGTTACCCGGTCAACGAAAATCTGGTGAACGCTTCCATGATTCGTATGCTCAAGTCTCTTTCCCTGGCGTTGTACGGCATCGACATGTTCAACGGATGGCCAAACACGTATTGCATCTCATCACCGTGCAACACGCCCATCCAATCACCCCACAAGTGTGAGTCTGTCCTCTGCAATATTTTAATGCGTTAAATATTATTATCATGAGAATTATTTATATGAACACGGTCAACGGTAATGCATATAATTTATTAGATACACTAAGTCGTTAACAAAGAGTAATCAAAAAATAATAATATGCTAATCAGTATCATCTGATTTACAGACTGCAACCAATCGGTTGCTGTAATTATATTATGATATACAAAATAGACATGTATATTTTTTTTTTGAGGAAGAAGGGAATAATGGAAAGTTATATGCCTAAAACATCAACCGTAGGGGCTATGATAACATAATATTATTTTGTATATATCTTTTATAAAAAAAAATTATTAGGTACCTACTATTAGAATAAAATAATTAGTTGAAAATTAAATAACAAAAAAATACATTATCCGTAGCTATCTATAATCAAGGGTAGGCGAAATGCTTGAAAAAGTATCAGATACAAGTATACAATAAAATAACACTAATATACTATATAGTCTATAATAGACTTAGATACTATTATAGACTTTATACAAGATGAAAATTAACACATGTCAAGGAATATAAAAATACAAAATATATTATGCGTATCTATGATACTTTCTACCTTTGATTACAAATATTTTATATACCTTCTGGTTCCTAAAATAATACCTAAGAAAATTTAACTGCAATTAATTAAAATTAAACACTATACTCACGTGAGTAAAGAAATAGTAGTACACCCGAGCTCCACGACTTGATACGATGTTGGCAAACAGGTTGGTTGGACATACAAAGAAATAATCTGCAACCACGTCGCTCAATTGTTTTTGGTTGGAATATTTGTCGTCCACGTCTTTTTTTTCCCATCCCGAATACTGAAATATATAATATTGTTGTGTGCAAACTGTATCATATTATGTTTTATTCTACTCATTCAAATACATTTTTAGGGGACCGAGTATAAATCTGGAATTTATAAATTTGGACCCTACAAACCCGGACTGTAGATATCTGAAAAGTACATATCTCAATATCTGTACTGTAAAAACCTGGACGTTTCAAATCCAGATGATACAATTCTGGGCAGTACAAATCTGGACGGTGACCTACTTGGGGTGGTATTGCATAGCAAGTTGAGGGATATTTTCGTTTTTTTTTGTCCGAGCGCAGCGCATTGAGTGGCCACGTGAGCATCACTGTCTAGATTTATACAGTCCAGATATAGAGTCCAGGTTGGACCCCATTTTTAGTAGTTTTATAATATTATAATGTTACTAAAGTTTTTTACAACAGTTTATTGATTGGCAAAAGGATTTTTAAGATGTTTCAAATCGTATTTGTCTACTGGTACACACAAAAGTATTTTCTATTTCCTTACATTTTTTTTAAAAGTTGTTCATTATTGATGTCTGAAGTTCAAAAAAGAGTGTCAAGAAGATAATGGGCCCCAGTGAACATTACTAATATAAGGGCCACGGGGGTGTATTATTAATATATAATATTCATTACATAAAATTAACGGAATATAAAAAAAAACTTATTAGTATAAGACTTTAGAATGTATTACGTAAGAAATAATGGACTTTCCTCTCATAAAATATTTATCAAACACTAATATTTGCTAATTGCTATTTAACGGAGTAGACAATGGGTGCTTGTGAACTATGCCATTAAATATTATATTTTACCTAATTTATAATACAGGCGTTGATTTTTATGCAATTAACTTCCACAATAATTTTAAGCAATTAAACGCTCATATACCCTCATGATAATATGAATGTTATTGAAAATGTAAATAGACAAATAGTAAAGCTTAAAATGTATAGCAAATTATTAGTAGGAAAAATTACAAAAACTTGCCAAAAAAATGTGGCTGAAGCACAGAAAAACAAGACATTCAGAAATAATAAGAAGCGAAGATAAGACGAAATTAAGCCATGATATTTTATTAAGACGTAGAAAATTGATTCCTGATGAAATATTATTCCCAGAGTCGGAAATGTGTCTTTAATGTTTAATTAGTAATTACCTATTTAAATCACGATGATGATAATTTTAACATTATTTCAAGTCTGTGAATAATACTGAATATTCGTTTGATATAGAAATATAAAATCCGAGTAAACTTCATTATATTTTGTTTAATTTATACGTTTTAATACCTTATTATGCAGTGCCGGCGGTTACACGAAGCCACCAATAATTATTATCTTCGGGTGATTTCTGTATTCTAAACACGCGTATTGTTTCTATTCGGAAGCTATATAATATGTATTAGTGTAATATTATGTATGATAAATTATACACGATCACCTTGTGCTTTCTAGCGGAAAATTTATTTACATTTTTTCATTTATTTTCGCATATTCAATGTCCGTTATAATAAAAAACACTTGTATAATGTTGGTTTTAAAATATTTACATTTCAGTTACTATGCATACTCGTATATTGAAGTTTTTCATAGTTCACGTAATGACGCTTTTACATGAATAATAGGTAACTTTTTTTTTTACATTTCGTAATAGAATATTTATATGACCGTATCTGCATAACGGTTCTTCGCCTATTTATTTATTTTTTCAAAAGAATATTTTCATTTACACCTAAACGCGCGGGAAATTGTAATTTAACCTGATATATAATGGCGTCTCTTTCCAGCTGCGTTCTGTCTTTGAATATCACGTTGACTATTTGCACAAATTTTTCCTTGGGCAATGCGGTGGCTGATGTCCGGTCGAAGAAATCGACAAAATCGTACAGCAAAAAATATGTTCCTGGAAGCAACAAAAAATTATATATTATACATTATTAATACTATTTTAAAAGTATAAAAATAAACTCTATTTAGGTCAACGAAATATATTAATTGCGAGTTGACACCTTATCAAAATTCACCGGCGTTAAGGGTAAAAGGGTAAAATGTGAAGAGGGAGTGACGGTTGAGTTTCCTAGGAGGAGAAGGGAGTGATCAATATATTATTATGACTGTGTGCAAGGTTGATGAGAGACCTGCGCCTCGTCGAGCCTAGCTCCCTCATTAAATAAATTGTTATAACAAGTTCCCACTCCTTGATCATTAGTGCACAATAAAAACATTATATTGTGGAAACGATAACTTTGGCGTTCGTATAAAACATTCCCATGCGTCAATAAAAAAAAACAGAATGAAAGAAGGAATAAAACAACATTACGGGTGTTCGAATTCGACATTCGTGTAATGTTGTAATATAATTAGAAGTTGCCAGTTGGGTTTGTATGCTATAAAATGTGTAAGATATAACGTTTATATATTCTATATAGGTATATAAGTATATATAATACCTATATTATATTAAATGTACCTGGTACCTACAATATTTGTTAAAAAAAAACTTTGATGATACAATATTATCAGGGCTGTGAATTGAATGCACTAAATTTAATGCTGAATATGCGTGCGCTTGCAGTGCGTTAAAAATTGACAAAATATGAATAATCACTTACAAAGTAATGAAAAAAAGACGTTTTAGAATTCTAAAAAATGTTCAAAAAAACACATTTTAAAACAAACATATTATTTTGAAATAACAAAACACAACATTTATAGTATTAATAAAAAAATATTTCTATAAGTTTTTATATGAATTACGTATTACAATTGTTATTAAAACGAGTGGATTATTAATATTTTTAATTTGTATTCAAAAAAACATGGTAGTCTTGCATTAATTATCACTTATCAGTTATCACCCACACGGCCACACAGATTGTCTACTTTTTAGACTCTTAGCCATCATTTTTAAAATATGACAAATCTTTTTTAACAAAATGTATAGTATATTATAATATATTTAAACACAAAAACTATTAAGCATTAACAACGATACAAATTGATATTTTAATATTATTAAATTTAAATATTAATGCATATCAAATGTCTAGTAGAAGAAAAACGTTATGTAGGTAGGAGTTATAAATTATCAATAATTCAGAAATGAAAGAATTCGCAGCTGCATAAATAATGCATAATATTAGTAATAGTCTGCAATTTAGGTTTATGTTATATTATTTATATTGTGAACAAAATGTTAAAAACATTTGAGTGTTATAATAAACTGCTGCTGCTACAGCAAATAAGTCGACACAATGACGATATACCTATAATTTCAACGTATTATCCACAATTATTATTATATTGTAACAAAATGATTGTAATTACATTTTAATGTTCAAAATAAATGCATTATTTTATTATATCGTACAGAGATGCGCAATATAATAGTATTACGAAATATCGTAATATAGTGTACCTACCTATAGCTTTAAATCGGGGTTCGAAAGAAAAAAAATGTATTGACGTACCTATTTATACTCGTTTTTTAACTGAATGATCTATGATGAAAAACTATTGAAAACGAAGAGAGGGGATTTTTTTCAGTTGTTTGTCATGCTGGATTTTCTACGGTTCGCTACTCTTGGCGTTGAGTGTTCTTGAGTTATTGACCGAAAGAACATTCAAAAGTTTTTCTTTTTATTTAACTCACCAGAACTCTTAAACCGAATGTTGGCTATGATTTTTTTTTACCTTTATTTAGTATGGTATTGACTGAATATATATGTATCCAATGCTCAATAGTCATATAGGTAATACTTATCTACCTACAACTGTATTTTATTTAGTCTGTATAGATACCAAAAAGTTAGTAAATATTACAACCCACGCGTAATATGTCATAATCGCGTGTTTTAAAAGAGTTGATTGATACATACTCATTCAATGTACAGGTAGCTACACTGAAAGTATTAATAAAATCGTTAGTTAATAAGATTGTTAGACAAAAGTGAGTTTTTTTCATGTCAAACTGTCCGCTAAATTTAATATCATATTGAAAAACGTTCATCAAACCTTACCTTATGATCTGGGTTAAAATACAACGGTTTAACGGCCAGCAGGCAACTGGCAAGGTTATATATTTACTAATAATATTATAATGCAAAGAAATATTATGCTGTATATATTATATTTTCCACAGAGTCTATATATTATTTTCTACAGAGACTTGTAAAAAATTTCACCTAACCTGACCGAACCTAGCCGCAGCAGGTATACGGACAGACGAATGTATCGAACTATACGGTGGCAGAGTGATTGGGGGGCACTTGTGACATGCCGAGGGTTGATGACGAATGAGGATTACTTTTTTTTCCAGACCTAAAAGAGTAATGTGAAAAATGTGTACACAAAAAACGCACACGCATACACAAACGTAAGTGTATTATATACATGTGTCGTGGGAGAAAAAAATTAAATAGGTCGTGCAAATGGATGTTGTCATGACACATTTATATATAATATACTTTACCGACCGCCCAAACACAATCACTCCGCGTCTGTCTGTCTCGACAAAAACTAATATGATTTCCCAAGAATTTTAGCGCTAGGTATACTCGCGGTTGCTGCTGGTATAGAGGTGACGACCGCGTGGTACGGCGTAAAACGTGCCGCGTGTGACGTTTAAACACAGTATGCTTTTTTTTCCGACACGTCGAGACGTCGTGATAATCCGACAACGATAGAATTAACGTTTGAAATTACACTCCCGGGGTCGTGATTGAATTAACTTTGAACCGTATTCGGACATATACGTCAGTGTGACGACGGTTTTTGACAAAATCAGATAATCCCATTAAACAGTCAATAATAATAATAATAATAATAATAATTACCTCCATTGGATATCGATTGACTCGTACAGGTGTCGGAGGTAGCGGCGCCGGGGGAGAATACATAATTAATTAGTTTCTGCGAGAGCTTTTTAATTAAACATTTTTAAAAATAACCCAATTATTTTGCGTAAGAAAAAACTCGTACCTATAAATATATTATACTTGAGGGGAAGGGGGGGGAATCGTACTTATGCTTTAATGAGAAATCTATAATAATATTATTATATTAATAATGCACAAAATACGAAATCAATTTATTTTAGCAATTAGTGTAATCACTGACGTTCGTATATATTTATATTATGCCAAGTCGTACGCGAGCCACACGATATTAATTGTGCGAGTTATGCAAAAATAGAATACGTTTGCGATTATAACCGTTGATGATGGTGCCGGTTTGTTATTGGTTTAATGTTGAAAGCAAAAAACATCGGCAATTATTTCGTATAAATATCTAATTCTGTATGAGAGGGTTAAGGTTTACAAACAGAGTCCTTAAAAAATACATAATATAGGTAACTGAAATTAATGCAATGCAAGCAACCATTTTGCATACCGTACTTTATACAACGGGCATAAACCTCAGCTCTACCCTAATCGGATAAAAATGAGAAACATTTCAACAGTAAATTGGAATTAAAATAATTAATAAACTAAATAATATACATCACTCGCATTCTTTAAGTATACACACGGAATATTAAAATGTATGTTTTACCCGCATTAATAACTCAATTATGAAGTAGGTACGTAGGTAGGTATAGTGTAGTTATACTCATCAATTTCATACAAACATTTCCAGAGTACTTAGGCATACATATTTAAAAAAAATGTTGATCTCATACGAGGGTACTGCCAAATGCCAATATTATAAGTATAGTTATACACTTATTCACGTCTTATATTATATAATACTATAATAGTCATCAGGTATAATAAAATATTATTATTTCAAAATAAAAAAAAATAAATACAAGTTCTCCGAGTTCTTAAAATATTGCAATTCAAAATTAATTATTAATTAGTGTCAAGGAAAAAAATCACTATTTACTTCTTTTTCAGAAAGAAATATTAAAATATTTTTATGAATTATTGTACTAAACCTGATTTAAGAGAAGTTTTTGGGAAAAATTGTATAAACTAGATTCAATGAGAGTACTAGATCAAGAGTTTTGGATTATAAAAGTAAAGAGGATTGGTTTTACGCAATGATATGATTTTATTTTTATTATTAACTTTTGCTGTGAATACTTTTTCGGGTAAAAGGAGTGCTCAAAAAGTTTTATTCGACCAGCTGTCGTTCGACTGAAAATCCATTTCTGTTAGAAATGGTCATTTTTACATTTTCTCAGTAGTTTCACAAATCATGAAAAAAAAAATACTTCCGTGAAACGGTGGAGAAATGTGGACGTTATAGCAATCACGTGGTGTGTTAAATCGAAAAGAAAAAAATATGATATAGTGTTTATATTTCATAGCGTATAATACTTCATACTATAAATCAAAAAAGTAATTATATAACTATCAAGGTTATTTCTTAAATTCTAAGTCAATATTGTAGGTAACGATTAAGATTTAGAATATTTAATGATCTTATATTCATTTATTTTTCAACATTAAATGCTTAGTAATACATCAATAATATTGTGTATTTGTTCATTCATTATTGAATTACAGCAAAACAAAACAAAATCAATTTTGTCAACGACCTATACTGTGTAAAAATTCTCGTTTAACCTTTTTTTTGTTCATCCCGATTATTTTGAAAAGTTTTTGGGAATCTTTTACTTTTACCTCCTAAAGTACCATCTAAATCCAATTTTCTATACCAGAAACCACTCGTAAAGTATTGATGGTTGATTCATGTTAACTGCTCTGAAATATAACGAAAAAAAACAAAAAAAAAACACACAAATCGTTGTAAGACCAATACGTTATTTATCGCTTGGCTGCATGTATTAATTTAATGTTAATGTTTCTTTTTATAGAAAATACCAATTGTTATTTAGATCAGAATTATAATAAATCAATCGATTTAAAAAAATAAGTAATCTACTACCTACTTGAA